AATTATCACACCATATACATTATTAAATGTATGCTAAAAGTCTGCTCACACATGCGTACTCAACCTGAAAGTCACAGAAAGGGGGCGGGGAATCATCAAATGTAGTATTTTCCATAGAGTGCTGTAATGGGGTGCTGCAGTGAAATCTATTTCCCAGATTCACACCATCTCTTTGCTGTCCCCATTTAAAAAATAATGGGAATAATATTTGGACTTGGCAAATGGGCCGGTTCCAGATGGAGACTGTGGTCTAAAATTCGCCTGATTATCAAGTACCTCTCTCTACAGCCCTCGGAAAGTGACGTGCTTGCTGCTTTTCACTGTTAAAAGTTCAAACCTGAATCGAAATAATGCCAATTCACTTCTGGCCTCTGGGTCTCTGTTAAAGCCAGCCCTGGCATTTGGCAGAGTGAAGCGGTGGCCTCAGGTGGCAGATGTGGTGGGGAAGGCACCAGTCGTTTCCTTCTGTTGCCACACTGCCTGCTCTCCAGCCCTTTTGCTACCCTATTGCGTTTGGGTATACTGAACAAGACTGTCCCCTTGTCCGTGTTGGAGTAAGGACTACCTTCCAGTCCAATTGGAAGGGACGGGGCCACTGTCTTTCCCTTGCCCTCAGGCGGCAAAATGTCTTCAGCTCGTGCTGTTCTTAGAAACAAAGTAGACACTGAAAGGGCAAAGAGATGAGTCATTCCAAGCCAAACAACGTGTTGCATAAATTAAGGAAATCCAGCAGCACGAGGACAAAAGAAGAGGCATCTGTTGCCAAGGGACGACTGGAGGGGCTCTACTTTTTGAACTTTTTCCCCTCCTGTACTTCTTTCTGCCAGGAAAAAGTATTTTTTTACAGAACACTGAAGCAAACTGTGTGTTAGGGGTTCGGGAACATCAGAAACTGTCCAAGTCAGTCCACCTAACTTAGTACTGTCTGCACTTCCTGACAACAGCTCTCAAACATTTTTTGGTGTTTTTGTAAAAAAATGGTCAACAACTTTGGGGTGTCCTGGTTTTCACTTTTTGGAATACGGCAACCCAGGACCTTCTGAGCAGCCACCAAGACACGGACCTTCCTTGGTTATCCTAAAGAACCTGTGAGGCCTTCAGGAAACATTCACTTAGGCCAGGAGCAGCCATGGTGTTATGAGTTCAGGCAGGACAAGTAAGTGTGTTGATTTTCTCCTTGACACTCTTCCACCTCCAAGGGCAAGTTGTGAGGTGCTCACTACGTATCTTTGCTTTCTCTCGTTGCTTACTCCCTTGAAGAGGGCACGTGAACAGGCAGCAGCTGCAAGGAAGATGAGCAGCAGACCCAGGAAGTGCCAGAGGTCAGCAGAGGACAACCACATGTCAGTGGTAGATGGAGCCAGAGGCCCAAAGTGGGTGATGCAATGGACATGATTCTTACCTGCTGTTAGCTGCAGAACTGTGCCAGACAAGGAACCCCCAGGCTGGCTTATGAAAACCAGCCTGGCTGGCCTAAACATGACAAAGGGGGTTGATGGGCCATCTGAGAGGAATATTTGGGCCTGAGGAGACAGATGTTCCCAAGGCATGTGTTTGAGGTGACAGGAAAAGGGAGTCTTGAGCAAGGGTTGCAGAGGAGAAGGAGGAGGTGGAGGAGGACGAGGAGGAGGAGGAGGAGGACGAGGAGGAGAAGGAGAAGGAGAAGGAGAAGGAGAAGGAGAAGGAGAAGAAGAAGAAGAAGAAGAAGAAGAAGAAGAAGAAGAAGAAGAAGAAGAAGAAGAAGAAGAAGAATTTATTATTTGTACCCCGCCCATCTGGCTGGGTTTCCCTAGCCACTCTGGGTGGCTTCCAACAAAGATTAAAAATACATTAAAATGTCACACATTAAAAACTTCACTGAACAGGGCTGCCTTCAGATGTCTTCTAAATGTTACGTAGTTGTTTATCTCTTTGACATCTGATGGGAGGGCGTTCCACAGGGCGGGCGCCACTACCGAGAAGGTCCTCTGCCTGGTTCCCTGTAGCTTTGCTTCTCGCAATGAGGGAACCGCCAGAAGGCCCTCGGCGCTGGACCTCAGCGTCCGGGCAGAATGATGGGGGGTGGAGACGCTCCTTCAAGTATACTGGGCCGAGGCCGTTTAGGGCTTTAAAGGTCAGCACCAACACTTTGAATTGTGCTCGGAAACATTCTGGGATCCAATGTAGGTGTTTCAGGACCGGTGTTATATGGTCTTAGCGGCCACTCCCAGTCACTGGTCTCACTGCCGCATTCTGGATTAGTTGTAGTTTCCGGGTCACCAAAGGTAGCTCCACGTAGAGCGCATTGCAGTAGTCCAAGCGGGAGATAGCTAGAGCATGCACCGTTTTGACAAGACAGTCTGTGGGCAGGTAGGGTCTCAGCCAGCGTACCAGATGGAGCTGGTAGACAGTTGTCCTGGACACAGAATTGACCTACACCTCCAGGTCTGCCACTGCTCCATCCATATTGCCTAAACTCTCTTCCTCCATCTTCCCTTCTCTTGTTTATCCGTGCTGGAGAAAACATACGTGCGTTCTGCTATTGCTTAACACCATCCTGCGCCTAGGTTTATTTAAAAGCATGTTATGTTAGGGCATTGCACCCTGGTGAGTCCTTTGGTTCTGTTACGAATTATGAGCAAAAGCAAGCCACACGCTTCATCTCGACACGCACGCAAATCCCCAGTGCGATGACAGCAGAGGATGGCATAAATAAGCACGTTGTCATTAAGACTGCAGCTCATGACCATTTGACGTAATGGCGCTTCTGGACTTCATTAACCATTCTGTCCATATGCAGACATGCCCCCAAGACTAACATCTGATGGGTTTATTGATGCAGTGATGGGCAATAAACACACAGGTCAGATCATCCACTAATACAGATTGCTGTGTAAATGTGAAGCACAGTGAGGAAATAATGTTTAGGGTGGCATTGCCTCAGGGCCAAGTGAAACCATGTTAAATGCATGGCTTTCATCTGATGTCGGGATGCGGGTGGCACTGTGGGTAAAACCTCAGTGCCTAGGACTTGCTGATCGTAAGGTCGGCGGTTCGAATCCCCGCGGCGGGGTGAGCTCCCGCCGTTCGGTCCCAGCTCCTGCCCACCTAGCAGTTCGAAAGCACCCCTAAGTGCAAGTAGATAAATAGGTACCGCTTTATAGCGGGAAGGTAAACAGTGTTTCCGTGTGTGGCACTGGTGCTGGCTCGCCAGTTGCAGCTTCGTCACGCTGGCCACGTGACCCAGAAGTGTCTTCGGACGGCACCGGCTCCCGGCCTCTTGAGCGAGATGAGCGCGCAACCCTAGAGTCGGTCACGACTGGCCCGTACGGGCAGGGGTACCTTACCTTCATCTGATGAAGAGGAAGGTGGAGGAGGAGAAGCCACAGGGAAGCGATCAGGACAATGGTGAGATGGAGGGTTAACCCTTGATCTCCACATCATTCCAATGAAAATTACCTGCCCTGGAGTTGCCATTGCCCCAGGTAGGAATGGGGTAGAAATTCAGTTGGGTTTGGATTGTAACACAGACTCATTTAATTTCCTGGAAGGATCACAGCTTCTTCAAAATTCCCAGTTCTCTGAATTTTGTGGTGCCGTTCCCAACCCAAAAATACCTACCGAAATGTGTGAAAGTGTGTATCCCTGAAAATGCCATACCAAAAAATGCATTATGTATAGGGAAATGGCTTGCAGAAAAGTATTTATTAAGAGAAACGTGTGCTGAAACACGGATGGATTTTTGCAAGGACCTTTGTTTAAAATAGTAATAATCACAAGCTGATGGGGAAATGGGGCAAACTGAACTGAAAATTAAAAAATAAGAAACTGATTAAAAATAGGAAACAGAAAGAATCTGAAATTGACAGATTTGTGTCCATCCCTAGTCCTTGAATGGAAACTCCTTTCCATTTCCTTGCTTCACTTGTATGAGTTCAGTGCTCGGTTGCAGCCCTTAAAGAAGGGATTATGTGGTCCGCTGGGTTTCTAGGTACTCCCAGCATATCATTCCTGATCCTTGGACCAGGCATAGGCAAACTCGGCCCTCCAGATATTTTTGGGACTACAACTCCCATGATCCCTAGCTAACAGGACCAGTGGTCGGGGTGATGGGAGTTGTAGTCCCAAAACATCTGGAGGGCCGAGTTTGCCTATGCCTGCTTTAGGCTGTGCTAGTTGAGACTGATGCAGTTCAAGATGCTGCTAATGGGATGAGAGTAGCGGCGGAGTGTGTCTTCATGGCACCCAAGGGTGTAGCCAGAGGGGGCAGGGAGGGGTAGCTGGGCCCCCAATCAATAAAAACCAGCCCAATCAAATCAGCCCAATCACACCAAACATGAGGCTAAGCAAAGGTCTGCTCTTGGCTTACCAATCATGGTTTGTTCAAACAAAACAAACCAGGAACCCTTGTCCGGGTATCTTCCTTTCACGTTACCCAAGGTATATTCAACAGCAGCTTTTGACAATAACTTTTGCCAGATTGCTGTTTTCAAATATTTTATCAGATGTTCAATGGTTCTCTCCCTTACCACCCTTTGTGAGGAGAAATGTGATGTGCAAAACACACAATAAAATCTGTTTTGTGGGCCAGTGTCTGAAGATGGGATCTCTTGAAATCACTGAATTTATTATTATTATTATTATTATTCCTTAGCTTTGTGTCATTTTCCTATTTCTGCTTGCTGTTCAACATGTTCCCCTTCTCTCTATTTAGCAACAGGGAACCTGCGACTCTCCAGCCATTGTTGTTCTACGGCGTCAATCATCCCTGAGACCATCAGATGTATTGACTTGGGCTGATGGGAGTTGGAGTCCCTCAGTTTCTGGAGAGTCACGGTTCCCCAGCACATTATGGATTCAGGCCTATTATATATATTTAAAATTCTTGAAAAGCCATCTATGGCATCTTTTCTCTACTTGAGCTGTCCTCTACTTTCATGTACCAAGAGCCAGGTCTGTCTTCTTCCTCTGCGCATGTTAGCTCACACAGATTCTAACATCCCAGCACTTTTCTGCATTTCATCAGCAACAAGATGTCTTTAATTTACATGCTTCTCCCAAATGCACCCTCTGAGAATACTAAGACAAAATTTCATACAGATGGGAAAGGCTTCTCATGCTCCTCACCATGTTTTCCGGGGGCCTAAATAAACAGTCCCCTCACAGAATCCCACACAGGTTTTTAAGCTCCACCATCTTCATGCATGTTAACTTCACTCCTTGTTACGCCTCAGAAATGAGGTGTGCCTGGCAGGAATTTGGACTTCAGTAGAAGAAATAAACGACAAACAGTTGGTGTTTTGTAGCGTTCGTTGTATTATTCTCATATAAATAATGGGATTGGTACATAACAAGAACATGTCATTATATCTTTCAGATTTCTAAGTAACGTTAGGAATTCTAAATGGCAAACAGATGACAGACCCAATTTCCCCATGTGGATGAAGCCAATGAAGGGGTTTCCTCAAGTATATCTAGGAAAGAAGAATATAGGTGATTCTGGATCTGTGGGGGGACTCTATAAGGGAACAGCCTGGCTCAGTGTCCTTTCTCATTCTTTTTCAATTGCATCCACAGGAGGAGTGGTATTGGGACAACAATGAGTGGTCAGAGGGGGAAGACAGGGAAGAGGAGGTGTTGGAAGCTGAAGAGGCAACAGGGCTTAGTGAGCTGGGGGAGACTGTGGCAGAGAGAAGTGAAGAAGAAGAAGAAGAAGAAGAAGAAGAAGAAGAAGAAGGAGGAGGAGAAGAAGCAGCAGCAGCAGCAGCAGCAGCTAAAGCAGGCAAGTGGGAGAAGTCAGGAGGCAGAGATGAGTTAGACAGATGAAGAGTCACAGGTATCTCCCACTCCTGCTGAGATAAGCTCCCCTCACCGCTTGTCTCCCAGAACCAGAAGAGACATGAAAAGGGTGGAAGAGAGACTGGCTGCATGCAGGCTCAGTCTCTGATTGTTTGTCTGATAGGTTGGAAGAAGCCCTGGAGAGGAGGAGGCAGGGCTTGGGGAGACGGGGACCTTTAGTCTCAGCAACTGGTTTCCTGGAATAAGACCTACAGGGAACAAGCTGCTTTGCTTACTAGGCCAACTCTGTGAAGGTCGTGTTTTTGAACTGTGTGATTTACTGACCAGCTCACTCTGTGACACACAGTGTCTCTGAGCATTTAAAAGTGCTGGCAAAAAAACAACTCAACGACACTAGCTAAGATGATAGAAAATAAACCTAAGGCTATCACAGAAAGAGTCTACTAATCTGTAACAGGCTCTCACAAACTCTGTGGAAAAGAATTAAAACCGGATGCTGAATGCATTTCAACAAAAGCGAGTCCCAGAAAATGCAGTTGAGCTGGCTTCGTAATAACTTTGCTGAGTGCTTCAATCACAGAAACAATGCATGCTTTCTCCAGGTAGAAAAATTCAAACCTGAGAATTGTCTAAGGGTTAGGTTTCTGTCCATGGCAAGACAGGAGCTTTTTATTTCTCAGTAATAAAAAGTAACAGCTCATAAGGAGGAGGGGGACACAAACAATAAAATAGATAACAAATATCCAAACAAAATCTCTTCCATTCAATAACTTCTGGGACGTGCTTGGATTTAACAAAGTGACATACTATAAATGGGATGACCTTCAAATAACAAAACTTAGGCACCAAAGATGTCATGGACTTTGAAGACGCTTGAACTCAGGACGAAAGGGAGAAACGTGCTAAGAGGAAGGCACGCTTGGCAAACCCTCACCGTGATCAACTCCCACCCAGAAACCTATTTCTCCACTGTGTGGATCCAGAATTGGCCTCCAAGGTCACTTACAGACTCACTGTTAAGACCGTGTTCATGGAAGTACTTGGCTGCAAATGATCGCCAAAGAGGAAGACATTTAAGGTAATATCACATCATTTTAAACAGCCAAGAACAGTATAATGGGAACTGTAGTTTGTTAAGAGGGCTGGGCGTTGTAGGAAAACTCCTCTTCCCTTCCCAGAGTACAATTCTTTACAAACTATAGTTCACCAGGTTTAAAGTGGTATGTTACTGTTTTAAAGTGCAGATGGGGCCTTAGTACACCATCTGTGCACAGGGGAGTTTCTTTTTGTGTCCCTCACGCATGACAGAAGCACAGTGGAAACACTTTTCCATTGGCTTATCCCACAAAGCTGCCACAAATGTTTAAAAGCCCATCAGAAGTTCATGGAACTACCAACCTACCAAGAGGGAGGGTGATGATTCTGTAGGAAAGATCCAAGCTGCCCAGGTCCCTACCCTGGTGGCTGTGGACCTTTGAATGTTTGCAAGAACGCTGTGGGATGAATCTATGGCAAAGCAGCTCCCACAGCACGTACTGCAACATCTAATGAGCACATCCGTCAATTCCGAAGATCAAAACTGACTGTAGACTGTTTTGCACTCTTCTCTCTCCCTCCAGGCCGCTTTGTAAGTATGGGCTTGCCCTCAAAAAACTTGACCTCGTGAATAGTCCTTGAAATCAATGAGAATTACTGGCATGTGGCAACTATTCACCAAAGTAAGAGCAACTCGCCCCAAGAGAAGTAACACAGTTATTGAGAAGGCCGTTGAAATTGTTCCTCTAAATTGATTGCTTTTCTTCATAAATGCAAAGAACAGGTGCTCTTCATGCTGGAGGAGGAAAGAGAAAGAGGTGTCAGATGGGGAGAATTTTCACCATTTAAAAAAAGGGATACAGTGGTACCTCGGGTTAAGAACTTAATTCATTCTGGAGGTCCGTTCTTAACCTGAAACTGTTCTTAACCTGAAGCACCACTTTAGCTAATGGGGCCTCCCGCTGCCACCGCCACACGATTTCTGTTCTCATCCTGAAGCAAAGTTTTTAACCTGAGATACTATTTCTGGGTTAGTGGAGTCTGTAACCTGAAGCGTCTGTAACCTGAAGCATCTGTAACCCGAGGTACCACTGTAGTGTGTTTTAGGCTTTGTTGACAACTTTTTTTTTTTATCAGTCCATGTTCCAGAACTTAACTGGATCTGCCAAAATTAGCAGATAGTATTAATCATGGTTTCTTTTTTCGACCTGGGGTGAGGAACCTATGGCCCTCCAGCTTTTGTTGGACTCCAACTCACATCATCCCTCAACAATGGTCATGCTGGTTGGGGCTTATGGGATTTGGAGTGCAACGTCTTCAGAGCCACATGTTCCCTTTCCCTGTTTTAGACAATGCCACCACCCCCCTCCAACCAAGGCTAAGGTTGCCCAATGCCTAAATTGCCAATGATGATTCTATGTGGTAGGCAAAACCTCCAGGTCATAGCCAATTCCTTTCTTGGCACCACAAATATGGCGACCACCGCAGCCATAGCAAGGTCAATTCAATGAGTAAATGCAAAATTACCCAAGTAGATGGGTGGGTTGATCCAACGAAGAAGGGCTGGGAGTCTGGGGCTGGTGTGGGCTGTTTTAAATCCCCCAGGAGTGGACCTGAGGGAAGCCTGATTGTTCCCTCAAGCCCGCCCCAATTCGGCAGGCTGACTCAGAGCAGTATTTCAAATCTGTGACAGATATTTTCATGTACTGCCTGTATTTTTGCTTCTCTGAGCAGAAGAGGGTTTAAAACTTGACTAGAAGGTTATGAAAGAGTGAGATTTTCTTCCCCAGTTCTAAGACATGGTGTTGCATTGACTTCTAGATTAATTTGGGGGGGGGGCTTGCAAGCAAAGTGTCTTCCGAATGACAAGAAGCCATACCAAAAAAAATGTACACTCACCTCTGCATTTTGGTTTGTGCTGTGCATTTCTCTTTGTGACTCTCCTTGTGAAAAACTGGAAGGGGAAACAAATGGTAGCAGTTAATCTTCCACCTCAAATTATTCAGTTATCTCGTCATAGATCTAAGGTACCAGAGCCTGTCAAGCGAATGGTTGAAATTAATAAATGGTGGTATTGAGATAATATTTGGGAAATAAAGGGAAAACACAAACTGCAGTACTGTGCCAGACAAGAAATTTCTGGATTCTAGCTACATGCAGAACCATTGAAAAACCATGGAAAACCAGGTATTGGGCCATTAAGGGCAACTGGAATTGAATAAAGCTATCCTTTGCCCCTGCTCCAAGGAGTGGATGGGACCAGGAGATTTGGGAGGTTGCCAAGGTGACAGGGGGCAGGATGTGACAGAAAAATGCATCCTTCTTAAAATCCAGAGGTGTTCTGGGAACAAAAAGGAGGAAGTGGGCAGAACTCAATGTGGTGTTGGCTGGAAGAGGCTACACTGAGAGACTGGGAGCCATGACTGACGACTGTTTTAGACCCAAGCTTGCCAAAGCTATGAGAGCAGCAATGAGAGCCACTCTAGGAATATAATGTTCTGCAACCCCTCCACAGAAGACTTTAGGTCAGCCTTTCTCAACCTGTGAGTCCCCAGATGTTGTTGAACTACAACTCCCATCACCCCTAGCTAGCAAGGCCAGAGCTCAGGGATGATGGGAGTTGTAGTCCAACAACATCTGGGGACCCACAGGTTGAGAACCGCTGCTTTAGGTGTATATGCGTGTAAAATGAGCCATATTTCTTAAAGGTACTAGCCTCCACTGCATCTCGATTTTCCCAGTGGAAACACAACCCTGGTTGAGTGCCTGGAACCCCCGGAATCTTGTTTTTGCTCAGCAGAGACTGGAGGTGGTGCGCAACCTTTGTAACAATATTGATACCCTGGTCTTCCTTCCAGGGCAAGGCCCATCGTTTCCCCTCTGCCAATTTTATCCTCAAAGCAGCTCAGTGCAGTAGGTGAGGCTGAAGAATGGTGACTGGCCAAAGGTCACCTAGTAAGCTTCACGACTGAGTGGTGATATGGACCTGGGCCTCCCCAGTTCTAGTCCAACATGCTAAACACAACATCACATTTTATCTAGCCCAGTTAAGAAACAGTTTGCCAAGAAGAAGCAAAGGAAGTTTTGTAGAAACATGTCTTCAGGGGCCACTTGATGGAGCCACGCCCTGAGATCTGCCAAACTTAGGTCAACAACGGCAACATCAAATGACGGGTTGCAGTTACAAAACAGTACTTGCAGATCAAGCAATAAGGACAAAGTTTATATATCACTATTCATCACTTATTCAAACAATGAAGCAATAACTTACCAGAACCAAGGCTCACATATTTGAATCAGCCCACCATTCCTAAGTGTGACTGGATATGTATTTTTGTTTCCTAAATGACAATCCAAGGCAGAAACCAGCAGGATGCCTGGAACGCACTGGCATTTTAAGGAACATGTTTTCTGAAGATGGCATCTTGAAGGTTGCTTTGCACATTACATTATGTGTTGAAAAGAAGATGTGCAAGTGACTCATGTGTCTTTTTGTGGTTTTTGTTTGTGCAAGGAGGGTATTTTATTTGCATCTCTTCCTTACAAGGAGAGGTTACAGCTTGCACATCTTACCAGAAATGGATGAGAGAATCAATTCTGCAGTTCCTTGAATCATGCAAATCTGCCCTGAGGTTTAACCCACAGCACCACCCGCACCCCTAATGAGGACCAGAGCTGCAGACAAATGTGGGGGGAGCAACAGATGAAACTCTTACCTTTGTGCAAGAAGCTACAGTTAGTGGGTGGTTCCCTAGACCAGATGGATGGGAGCTTGCCTGCTCTTGATGGAGGAGTTACACTCTCTCTGAAGGAGCAGGTATATAGCTCGGGGGTATTTCAAGATCAATTGCTGTCACTTGAGGCTCAGGTGGCCTCAGAGTGCCTTCTATCAGCTTTGGCTGGTGCCCTACCCTTGCTCCTACCTGGATAGGGATAGTCTAACATCTGTCATCTATGCTATGCTCTAGGTTAGATTATTGTAATGTGTTATGTGTGCATGGGGCCGCCTCTGAAAACAGCTCGGAAACTTCCGCTGGTGCAAGACAGTTTGAGCGTATTGCACAGATCCTGGCCCAACTGCACTGGCTGCCAATTAATTTCTGGGTCCAATTCAAAGTGCTGGTTTTGATCTATCAAGCCTTAAACAGCTCAGGACTGCAATAATTCAAGGGCTGCTTCTCCCCATATGACAGAGTCCAGACCCTGTGATCATAATCTGAGGCCCTTCATAGTGTGCCTCCTCCACAAGAGGTCCGGAGGATGAGAACATGAGAACAGGCCTTTTCTGCAATGGCCACCCCAAGGAGGATCGCCTGACACCTTCATTATACATCAGCGCCAGGTGAAAACGTTCTTTTTCAACCAGGCCTTTGGCTGATTAACAATCTGTGTTCTGGAGGTTGCATCACCAAGCCAAGATTTTACAGTCTGTGGAAAACAGATGAACTTAGGTGTTCAAGTTGGTCTTAATAATATTAACACAATATTAATACAAGGGAGGCTTGGTAGAACATTGAAACTGTGAGTGAGTTCGATCAACTCCATGTACATTTCTTGCTTGAAAAAGAAAGTTCAGAAGGGAACATATGAATAAGTTGTGAATCTTCCTATCTTTCAAAGTTCCCTATTAACTCCAAGGGAGGAAAAACTGCATACACTGAGTATTCAGCTTGCTTAACTATTTCAATGAACCCAGAGCTGCTTTCATACATGGAACAATGGCCGAGCCAATTTGTTCTTCTTCACAAATGTCTAAAATTGCAACACTCAGGCTCCACGCAACATCAAACAAGCTCATTCTCACATCCAGGAGGAAACTTGCTACCGGTTTTCATTTCCTATGCAAATTATATGCTGTTACCATAGAAACTCAAAAGCCAAAATCTCAAGGTACTGGTCCAGCCAAGAGCTGTTACTTCTAACTATCCCCCAAGCCACTCCAAGCCAGCGTGTTCCCATATCCCCAGGGCTTGCATAAGCAGAACACCCCAACCTGGAAGCTAGATTCCACTGCTACATCAAACCTTTTTAAAAAAAATAAATAAATGACTTTTTAAGAAACAGAACAGATCCCTCTGTCACAATATAGAGACCCTGCTGTGTGAATTCATGACATACTTAGGTTGCATGCTTTGTTTACATGGAATCGTACCTGATAAAAGTTTATGTCCCAGGAGGCCCATCATGGTCACAGTCAACACAAGCAATGCTATTAGAGATAGGATGCTTAAGGAATTTTCATCACGTTCCTGACTCCGAGTAGCAGAAACTGGAAAGAAAAAATGTCGTCACGTTGTAGTCGATACATACATTTCAAGAATATGTAGTCCTTTCATATGAGGGTTGTCTCCGTTAGAACATTTGCTATAGGGTGCACGCCTTGTTCTCGGTGATGCCAAATCAATAGCTGAAGAGAACATTGTCAATCAGCAAGGACAGCATTTGATCCTGCCTCTCACAGGCTCTAGGATCACAGTAGGTTCCACCACCAAGACAAGCCCAGGGCCAACCACATAGGACAACTGTGGCTGCAGACCACACATTATTTTACTTGGCTTTGGGCTATAGTGGCCAATACAATACTATTATCAATACTTACTACAGGGCAAATCACAGATGTGTGAAGGAATGGAATAGTCTACGTCTGTCCTCCGTCCCTTATAAAAGAAAAAAAGGGAGGAAGGTTATTACCTTAGCACAGGTTTTTGTTTTGTTTTGTTTTGTTGGTCAGTTGAATGTAACTCCTCCATTTTCTTGCAGTGTTAGATCTGTTAAATAGGTGTTGACACTATAATATTTAGCTACTGCCCATACCAGAAGCAGCTCAAAGGTGGGGCAAAGTCACTACCGTAGCTTCCAGGCAGGTGGGTTGCTATTGCTTATCAGGAGAGAGAGGGGCAAAGCAGTGGGGAGGCTGGCATGGTGCAAATGCACCAGCAGGAACACCAAACTGAGATCTGCACACTGTCCGTCTCTGTGACGCCTCTATTTTCCGCTCCCAGTAAACAACAGTGGCCCACCTGCCAGAAACCTAGCATAGCATCTTCACCCACCCAGCAAGCCACTTCTGATCCAATGGCATGCGATCAGTGGACTAGGGGAACTAGGCTAGTCCCCTAAATGCTCCCAATAAAATAAAGTATTGAAGCCTGGCACCTCCTTCCCAAAGCCCAGGAAGCTTCTGCCCAGATTAGGTTTAGGGAGAGAGGTGCAATGCTCTGACAGGTCCAAGAGCCCTTCTGCCACCTTCTCAAAGCCTTCCTGACCTTGGGAAGGAGGAAGCAGGGTTCCAGCATCCTGTCAGAGACCTGGCACCTCCTGCCCAAAGTCCAGGAATCTTCTGCCCAGTTTACGGAGGCTGTTGCCTTTGGCCTTAACTGTTCCCCTACAAAAAAATTCACCACATACAACTGTTCTGATCCATCTATTCGTGTCCTGAGGGATGTTGTGTTTGTGATGTAGCTTCTCCCTCTTAACATTTTTCTAAGGCGGTAAATGCATCCTCCCCCCAGATGTCTTGCCATTGCTGCTGCAATAAGATGATTAAGAACTGATTAGGGAAGATGTGCTACTTCCCCCTCTAGTTATCATTTGCATGCTAGCACAGAAAAGACCTTCAAAACAAAAGACAAACCTGAATGCAGATGTCTGATCCACATGTTTTGCCTGAGATGTTGACATACGTTGAACTCAAGCCAGCCTGTGAAAGAGGCAAAAGCAAAAAAACACACATTAGCCCAAAGGCAACAGAGATGCCTCATTTTCCTTTTTGGCTATGATACTTATTTGACTGTGCCACAAAACACAGTGGTTTGCATTGATGAAGACATTCAGCCTTTTTGGTGTGTCTATGGAGCATGCTGATTTTGTGCCAGTTCCAAGTGTGGGGAACCTGTGCCCCTCCAGATGTTACTGGACTCCAAATCCCATTAGCTGCAGCCAGTATGGTCAATGGTCAAGGATGATGGGATTTGGAGTCCAGTATAGTTAAAGCTATGGTTTTCCCAGTAGTGATTTATGGAAGTGAGAGCTGGACCATAAAGAAGGCTGATCACCGAAGAATTGATGCTTTTCAATTATGGTGCTGGAGGAGACTCTTGAGAGTTCCATGGACTGCAAGAAGATCAAACCTATCCATTCTGAAGGAAATCAGCCCTGAGTACTCACTGGAAGGACAGATCCTGAAGCTGAGGCTCCAATACTTTGGCCACCTCATGAGAAGAGAAGACTCCCTGGAAAAGACCCTGATGTTGGGAAAGATTGAGGGCACAAGGAGAAGGGGACGACAGAGGACGAGATGGTTGGACAGTGTTCTCAAAGCTACCAACATGAATTTGACGAAACTGCGGGAGGCTGTCCAAAAGTTTTTCCTGACGTTTAGTAGGAATCTTCTTTCTTGTCACTTGAAGCCATTGGATCAAGTCCTACCCTCCAGAACAGGAGAAAACAAGCTTGTTCCTTCTTCTGTGTTACAGCTCTTGAGAAATTTGAAGGTGGCTTTCATATTTCCTTTCAGTCTCCTCTTTTCTAGGCTAAACATACCCAACCCCCTTAACCGTTCCTCATAAGGCTTGGTTTTCAAACCAAATCTTGGTTGCCCTGCTCTGCATTTGCTCAGTTCGAGGTGATGACTCAGTGCTTCTCGCTGCTTTCATTGAGAGTCGTTGAAGGCTGGCAACATCAACCCCGCCATGTGGGAATCCCTTACAGACAACCGCAGTGTCTGGAGACAGGCGGTAAGGTTGTGCAACCATAGCAGTGACCAGAGGAGGAATAACCGCTGGGAAGAGCACACAGTGAAGTAACGCCATGGTGCATCTGCAGCAGTACAACCAGATGCCTTCATCTGGCCCAGCTGCAACAAAACAGGTCTCTCCCATATTGGTCTCTACAGCCACAGCAGGCGCTGTAACTTCATCCCCAAAGAAACACTCCTCCATTGTCCCCCAAGGCAGATGGATGTCAACAACAACATCTCAAAGCCATGTCTCCACCCCTATCATTTAGCCTGGACACTGAGGTCCAGCTCTGAGGTCCTTCTGGAGGTTCCCTCACTGCGAGAAGTGAGGTTGCAGGGAACCAGGTGGATGGCCTTCTCAGCGGTGGTACCCACCCTGTGAAACATCCTTCCACCAGATGTCCAGGAAATAAACAACTATCTGATTTTTAGAAGACTCCTGAAGACAACCCTGTTTAGGGAAGTTTTTAGGGTTTGATGTTTTACCATTTTTTTATGTGCTGTAAGCCACCCACAGTGGCTGGGGAAACTCAGCCAGGTGAGCGGGGTATAAATATAAAATTATTATTATTATATTACAGTGGATAACAGAACATTGGAAACTTCAAGCTGGTTCCTATGATGGAAGCTTTGGAGTCACAAAGCCTATCTTGTCATCATCTTGATCCTCTTTCCAAATTAAGAAGAGGCTTCTTTTTCTTGTTGTTGTTGTTAAAGATGTGTACCTCGTGCGAACTTTAGCAGCGAATCAGAGCTCTATCAAAATCAGTTTGAAGTCAGGTCTCAGTGGCCAATATCTGTCATGTGCTTTCCTTTAAAAGGACGCCGAACACCAAAATGTAGCAATCTCTAGTCAGTCAAGCATTTAGGAATTTTTTTTGGAGTACTTTAATTGGAAGGATATTTCCGCTAAGTGCTCTGTGCAAATCATTGTTCATTGTAAAGTCACTGAGAGGATGTGGTGGAAAAAACCATTCGAAAACAAAAGAAGGGGAACTCTGTGATTCAAAATCTACATGATTTCACAACATAACGTAGCTGTACAGAACGTATCAATTCCATAATGGTACTTGAGGGTTGATGGGGGTTTTTTATTAAAAAATGATATCCCATCTCACAGTAGTACTAACTTGCTCTTTTTTTTAACTTGGGTCTTTAGGGTTAGTCAGTATGTTTCCCACTGACTCAAATGAGTATTCTCCTGCATGCCACACTTCTCAAAATGTTTGCCTTAAAAGGATCTGACAGACGTAGATCAAGAGTTCAGGATTCACTTGTAAGAAAGGAGAAATAAAAATGGCACAAACCACTGAGATGGGCTGGTGGATTCCAGTAGAGTTGCATAAAGACGCCTCTGTCTTGTTGCATACATGAACGGAAAATTTTGCCTCGGCAGCTTGTGACATGAAGGAAACTTCTATCCTATTGTCCATCACAGCAAGATTCATTTCCCAAGCTGAAACAGAAGTAAAAAAGCAATCTACGTTACCGAGAAGTGATCCTAACTAGTGACACTTTTGTTTTTGCCCTTTAATACTTGCTTCATTTTTCAGCCAGCTTCATCACTGAAGCTCAGAGGCGACCACAAAATGTCCGCCCTTTAGTTAATCTCACAAAGACTCTCCTCCTTCCGGAGGGGAGGGGTTGTGAGCGGGAGCCGATTCCCGCGTCACGCAGGGGGCGTTCTGCCCCCTGCCCTGACATCATTGCTGGCGTGCCATGCCTCCCAGTTGGGCACCCACTCGGGTGACACCACGGGGGTGTGGTTTAGCCGCTCAAATGCGGCCACGCCAGCTCTCACTGCCATTGTGCTTCTGATCTCCATGAGTCCGGGATGACGGTGTTCATCTTTCAGATCACGGCAACGACATATGGCTGGCCAACATCATCAGAAGTCTTAGGGATTGGTTGCAGCTGTGAGGGTATTGGCGGCGAGCCTCTTGGGCTCGGGTGGTGGTTAGGCATTGGAATGTGTTGTTGGTGTATGGAAGGGCAAGGTGTGGCCATCACCTACTCCTCACCTTTTGGGTATTGCGTTAAAGGAATCTGGCGGTCGTGGATCCTGTCCGATGCCCTGTGTGGTGGGGGGCCATGGCACGACCCCCGGTGACATCAGGGGAGAGCTTATAGTTGTATTTGCATCAACAGGCTCCCCCTACTGGTGGTTAACCCCTTGTCAGACTCACCCCTCTCCGAGTGGGTGAAGTCAAATTCGGTGTTGTCCAATGCCTAAGCCAATACCTTCTCACATGCTGTGAGAACCTAATATGCTGTGTCCATGTGTCTTTATTATTCCCAAGCGGGGGACGGGTCCTCGAATCACAACTATCGCATTATGAGGTTCGTGCGTCTTGTACCCAGCAGCATCGAACACTGCACCAATGCTTAGATATTATACAAATTAGTATGTTGATTTTAATAAACTGCCCTTGGCAATTGTTTTCTTGGAATGAGGCTTCAACCTGTTTTGTTGGCATTCGCCTGTCTCGAGAGACAATGGAGTGTGCCTCCGGTGGTGAAGGCAAACTGCTGGAGAATCACAGCGCCTGCTGTGGCTGCAGAGACCAGTAACTCATAACTGCTGCCTCCTGCATTGTTTTTGCTGCATTAACACCACTGGAGTGACCTGGGCATTGTGTATGCAAAGGCGGTTTTAGGGTGGCATGACCAGTGTGGTGGCACTGGGTGCCATGGTGCTGGAGGTGCCACAGCAATGCTGTGGAATGGAGCGCAAGAGATGGGGACACTGAATTTTAGTGTCACACAGGGTGCCACTGAAATTGGAGAGCCCAAAGTCCACCACTGGTGTATGGAGGTCCTGGGCTGCCCAGACAACAAGACCCACCCCCTCTTGGCCTTGCTGATGTGGTGCAAAGGAAAGCAGAGCAATAAATTTGGCACCAGCTGGGCTGCTAGGAGTTGCCGGAAGGAGGCGTACAAGACACCATCCAACCGCCTTAGGGACACCAAGGAAAACACCGTAATTCAAAGAATACAGTTCCTCATTATTCACGGTCCTTCAGATGTGGTCTTAGAAAAACAAAACAGAAAAAACCCACAGGTATAGCCTAAGCAGCTTGTTCCGCTATGACTGTCATTGAGCCATTACAAATGTAGAAAGATGTTTATGAATGCAATCACCTTACCTTGGGGATTTCCACGAGCAAATGGGCATCGAACCCAAGAACCGTGTTTAGTTGCAAACTAAAAAGGGGTTTTAAAAAAGAAGTGATTAGTTACACTGGGGTTGTTGTTGTTGTTCATCTTAATCTGAATTTCTAAATGGAATGTAGTGATGAATAGAGGAACCATGGCTTTTATCTTAAACACAATGGGAATTAGTTCCAAGTCAACATCCATAGGATTCTGCTGTGCAGAAACTAGCACAGTAGTGCCCTAATATTTGCCCTGCACTATGGACCACGTGAAAACTGCTGAGGGTCTTTGCAGATCACTTAATGATTTTTCCACCTGTTGCGGCAATTGCAATGTTCTGTGCTAGATGCTGTATGGTTTTGGATGTCATTTCTATTGTTATGTTATTCCTTGTGCATTGTATAGGTAAATGGACCCCTGACCATTAGGTCCAGTCGTGACCGACTCTGGGGTTGCGGCGCTCCATCTCGCTTTATTGGCCGAGGGAGACGGCGTACAGCTTCTGGATCATGTAGCCAGCAGGACTAAGCCGCTTCTGGCGAAGCAGAGCAGCGCACAGAAACACCGTTTACCTTCCTGCTGGAGTGGTACCTATTTATCTACTTGCACTATGACGCGCTTTCGGACTGCTAGGTTGGCAGGAGCGGGGACCAAGCAACGGGAGCTCACCCCATCGCAGGGATTCAAACCGCCGACCTGATCGGCAAGTGCTAGGCTCTGTGGTTTAACCCACAGCGCCACCTGCGTCCCTTTTTGCTCCTTATACAATGTTCATTGTTTAAGGAGCAATAAAAAATTACGGTCAAAAATCAACCTGGATATTGAATGCAATGGACTTGTGTCCCGTCTTCAACCACAAAGCCACAGACACACCTTGGGCTACATGAAGGAAACTTGAAGACCACTGGTAGTCCTTGCACCACAGTTTGGGAACCCCTGTTCTAATGAATTGGGGGTTAGGGGGAGGTTAGATTTGGGTGCTTCTTCCCAACAAGCTAAATAATTCCAATGGAATAATACAGCCTTCACAAAACCAGTGCTCTCTGAACCGCTTCTCAAACTGCCAATACATTTCTAATGATGGCCATCCTACGAGTCATAGAGGGGACAGGGGTAGCTTTTCCACAGGACCCGGCCACAAGATTTCTCTTAATAAGTAGAGCAAAGGGATGATTCATAAGGAAATAATGTACAAGGGAAAAAATATACCTTCATGCAAAGGTTTGGCTGTGCATCAACTCGAGAATATTTTACCTGATTGAAAACAGAATGATCAGAGAGTTATTGGCATCGTGAGAAAAACAGGCATTGGCATAGCTAGCTTTTAGATACATTGGAAAGATTATTCATTTATAAACATTGCAAAGGTGTTTCTTACTGAACTGAAAGCTAAGCCTGACTTGGTGTAAATTTGACTTACTAACTGACAGCTAAAAGTTGACTTGGTGTACATCAAAGCCTCGTGTGGATGTCATTTTTAGTGAATGCATGAAGAACAGAGGTGGTGTCCTACTCTGAACCTTTGTTCACACACACACCCGAACACATCCTAGATGCATTCAAACTGATGTGTATCTGCATATAGCTTGTGGACACAAGGGTAGGAATGTTCAAACAGATTTATCCTTCAATTTTTCCCCAGTCTCTTAACATTTTGCAGTACCGTCCTCCACTTAAAAATATATGTACCAATAATAATAATAATAATAAATAAATAAATAATAATAATAATAATAATAATAATAATAATTATAATTATAATAATTATACCCCACCCTTCCCGGTTCAAAAACCGGACTCAGGGTGGCTAACAACAAATTTAAAACACTTTAAAACACTTAATTATAAAAACAGCATAAAATACAGTATAAAAACATGAATGACAATAAAATTCAAAAATCAAAAATCAATTAGATAATCCCCAGGGCTAGCTGGCTGAATTGGTCCTACTTGGGCCAGCAAGGAGGCCAGGGGAGAATTAGCTGTGGGTTCTCAGAGCGGGTTTACCTTTACCAAAGATAACCGTTGCAAAGAACTGAACAATGAAAGATAGTAATTAATTCTCCCAGCACACCAGGTCTGGAACAACAATGTATATGAAGGACTACACACGTGAAATGGATATTATAATTATAAAATGTAGCAGAGGTGCTGTTTGTAAGGTGAAAAAAATGTTGTCAGCTGCGAGAATGGACTAACAACAAGTGAAGGATGACAATTGGACATTAAATAAGAGATGATGCAGCTACGGGAGGAAATGATTGACATACGTTTGCAACAGGATCAGGAAACCTGATTTTAAGGAATTGTATTAAATTAAAGTAATTTGGTTTGATTTGTAATAATTTGGAATGTTAATTTTTTTAAAAAAATAAATAAAAAATATGTACCAATATGCACATCCAGTCACATATCTTGTATTCAAACGCATTCAGAATGCCTATTTCAGAATAAAATAATGTATTATTAAAATTAGCAATAAAAAAATTCTATTTTGTGGGGAACGAATAAAGAAATTTGTTTTCAAAGGAGACCAACGCGTTTTGGCCAATTACTGTTTCAAAGTTCTTCTTCAGGTGAAACCAAGTTTGCCCTCCCACTCAATGACTACATGCAGAAATACTAGACCCAGTGCATATATTTGCTCTTTGGTGCTTACTTTCTCTGCAGCGATATTTGCCGTGTTCTCTAGATCAACGCACTGATCATTGGTCTTCATGAGCTGACAAAGGCTGACAGTAACGTGGACAGGGCAGGCTGCTTCCCATTCCAGTGTTTTTGTGTTGGGATTATAAATAATGTTGTCCCACAGGGCCTTGGTATCTAAAAGCAACATAGGAGGGAAATGAAGGCTGCGTAAAAGCAGTGGCGTAGCGTGGGGGGTGCGGGGGGGCCGGCCGCACCAGGCGCAACATCTGGGGGGGGGCGCGCTCGCACTCGCAGCTCTCTGCCCCTACCTGGCTCACTCACTCTCTCTCACTGCAGTGCTGGCTGTGCGAATCCGAGCCGAGCCGCTGGGTCGCCGCCCACTGTGGAGGGGGGTGGGTGCCAGGCGTGTGGTGCGGAGAGAGAGCGAGGGACTATCTGGGGGAGGGACAGTGCAGCGGCCGCCCAGCGCAGCGCTGAGCGCGGGAGAGAACCACACCAGACCAGACCAGGCAGCAGCGAGAAGAAGCTGGCAGCAGCGGCAGATTAGGGGTTAGGGGGCGCAAATTACTTGCCTTGCCCCGGGTGCTGACAACCCATGCTACGCCGCTGCGTAAAAGCACATTATATAGCTCAAGTGTCCGGGATACTGAACTCAACTCCTCCCCAATGGTAGCTAGCTATAAGCACCTACCATTTTGTTGGCTGGGAGTGAGATGTGGCTCTGTTGCTATCAGGGCCGGATTTAGGTTTGATGGGGCCCTAAGCTACTGAAGGTAATGGGTCCCTTTCTATGTCCAGCTGTCCTTTGTCAATAACAAATTGTCGCTGTTTTTTGGGTTGAATATATGCTATATGGTAATTTGTGGACCTAATAGGTATCTAAAGCCATTAGCACATTACAAATATGTATTTTAATCAAAGTAATTGTTGAACTGAAATACAATTAATAAGAAGGATATTAATAGTGAAATGCAACCCTATATATAGAAAGGAGCAAACAATGGTTTTTTAGGGAGCAGACTAGCAGGCAGGGCCCATTACTTACATCATAGGAGCCTACACAACACAAAACACTGTTGCTGTATGTAGGTTTTATTTGTTTTTTATCTTATATTTTGGAAATGTACATCTAGTTGTTGGGTTTTTTAAAAATATTTTTGGGGCCCCCAAGAGAGTGGGGCCCTAAGCTGTAGCTTGTTCAGCTTATACGTAAATCTGGCACTGGTTGCTGTCTACCATGAGAGTGCAGACACAGGGCTATGATCCATTATTGTCATTTTTTAAGGGACTTTTGATACGCTGGACAAGTATTTTAGGTAAAATTCACATCTGCGGAAAATTCAGACAAAAACAGATTGGACAGCCTACTATCATGCTACCTGTGATTTCACCTTCCCCTTAACAATCATTTAACAGCATAGCGTCTGTTCAAAAGAGCAAAAAAACCATATTTTACTTGCCATTTTTAAATGGGCACAATTGGGTTCTCTGTGCGTCGGGGATCGCTGGCCATGCCTGCAATCCAAACAGGAAGATCCATTAGTTCAAATAACCAGCTAGTTTAAAATCTATTTTTCAATAAATTCTTATCCACAAAGCCCCTCTTTACTAAATGCATTCATGTAGTTGGTTGTGTTCCTCTCAAGGACTTTGCCCCGCTCTCAGAAATAATGTTCCTTCAATTAGTTACTGCGTTTTCTAACCAGGTTACATGTCCAACCATGTTGAAAATACTTACCTCGATACAAAGACAAGGCAACAACTGAGTGTACTGTAAAGAGACTGGTTTCACCAAGTCCTTCCCTTGTATCTGAAATTGTAAAATACCCTGCAATAAGTCAAGTATTTCTGCACAGTAAATAACCTTTCAGAAAATTCCCCATGTATTCTTCTCATGGAGAATAACGTTATCAATGCTTTCTATGTTTGCATTTAGAAAAAATACAAAAGCATTTTACAATGCTATTTATATATAATAAAAACACATAAAAATCAAAATTGGGGACCATCAACAGTTATGGAAAGTGGTATTCTTAATGGCCTGTATAAGCCTGATGGAATAGAAGAGTTTTCAGGAGGCTTTTAAAGTTTGAAACAGAAGGCGCCTGATGAATCTCTATTGACAAGAGAATCATTGCACAGGCCTGGGCCAATAATACTAAAGACTGTGTTTTGTGTTGATGTCAGTGAGCCTTGCCAATTTGGGAGACAACCAATGGTGCGTCGGCAGATGATCTTGGTGATCGAACTGGGATATAAGGGTTTAGGCAACCCTTAATGTACTCTGGAAATAAATAGTTCAGGGCCTTGTAAATTAACGCAAGGCCTTTGAACCTGGCTCAGCAGCAAATGGGCAGCCAGTCCAGATGTTTTAACAATGGTGGTCCAATTTCTCAGCCATGCATCCCCATCGTCAGTCCGGCTGTTGCATTCTACACCTATTGGAGCTTTCAGACCAGGTCCAGGGCAGCTCCATATAGAACAAAATGAAGTAATCAAGTCTCAATGTGCTGTTCTCCTTCCGGTATCGGAGGCAATATAGTTAAAGGACCCCTGGATGGTTAAGTCCAGTCAAAGGCGACTATGGGGTTGCAGCACTCATCTTGCTTTCAGGCTGAGGGAGCCAGCGTTTGTCCACAGACAGCTTTCCGGGTCATGTGGCCAGCATGACTAAACCACTGCTGGCACAACGGAACACCATGAGGAAACCAGAGCGCACAGAAACACTGTTTACTTTCCTGCCACAGTGGTACCTATTTATCTACTAGCACTGGTGTGCTTTCGAACTGCGAGGTAGGCAGGAGCTGGGACATAGCAGCAGGAGCTCACTCCGTCGCAGGGATTCAAACCGCCAACCTTCTGATCGGCAAGCCCAAGAGGCCCAGTGGTTTAGACCACAGCGACACCCATGTCTCATGTGGAGGCAATACACCTCTGATTAACAGTTGCTGGGGAACACAAGTGAGGAGAGGGCTGTTGCACTCAGATTCTACTTGTGAGCTTCCCATAGGCATCTGGTTGGCCTCTGTGAGCACAGGATGCTGGACTAGATGGGGCACTGGCCTGATCTAGCAGGGGTCTTCTTGTGTCCTTGGGCTTTTAGCACAGAAGCATGGCTCAACAATTTTAGTGCTACTTTTGATGTACTTCCATGGTGTTATCGGCTTAAGCCCTCCAGACGTTCAGGAAACTGGATAAACTAACACAAAGGGGCATGGAAATGAATGGACTAATTCCAGTAAGTTTCCAAGCACAATTCAAAGTGTTGGTGCTGACTTTTTAAGCCCTAAATGGCCTTGGCCCAGGATACCTGAAGGAGCGTCTCCACCCCCATCGTTCAGTCTGGACACTGAGGTCCAGCTCCGAGGGTCTCACTGCGAGAAGTGAAACTACAGGGAACCAGGCAGAGGGCCTTCTTGGTAGTGGCGCCCGCTCTGTGGAACACCCTCCCATCAGAAGTTAAGGAAATAAAAAACTGTCTGACTTTTAGAAGACATCTGAAGGTTTTAGGAAGGTTTTTAATGTTTGATCTTTTATCGTGTTTTTAATATTCTGTTGGGAGCTGCCCAGAGTGGCTGGGGAAACCCAGCCAGATGGACGGGGTATAAATAATAATAATATCATCATCATCATCATCATTATTATTATTCCTTCTCCCCATAAGCACCATAAGCATTGCCCACCATGAAGTGGGAGATGACTATTGGAAGTGGAGAGCCTGCTCATGTAAGTAGCCATACGCTTATTTACATTAAGAAGTTTGTCCCTCTAGAGCAGTGGTAGGGAACTTAAGGCCCACCAGATTTTTTTTTTCATACTACAGCTCCCATCAGCCCTGACCATTGGCCAAGCCGGTGGAGGGTGATGGGACTTGGAGCTCAGCAATATCTGGAGGACCACCAATTCTCCATCTCTGCTTTAGAGTGCCTTTTTTTCTGAAGCTCAGGACTAGAAGTTAATGGAGGCTGGTCCATTATGGCGTCCCACCAACCTCACTCTGTCCTCAGTTAACCATCATCCGCCAGTTTAGGGATGACACTGGCTGTCAGCCACTGCCACCACCTTCTTAATCTCAGTGTTGCCTTTGTAGAAAGCAAGGGCAATGATGGGAGCAAAAACTGGAATGACTTGCCTCTGCCTATCCTTGCCAACAAAGGTCCGTATAGTTAAAGCTATGTTTTCCCAGTTTTCCCAGTAGTGATGTGATGTTAAAGCTATGTTTTCCCAGTTCCCAGTAGAGCTGGACCATAAAGAAGGCTGATCGCTGAAGAATTGATGCTTTTGAATTATGGTGCTGGAGGAGACTCTTGAGAGTTCCATGGACTGCAAGAAGATCAAACCTATCCATTCTGAAGGAAATCAGCCCTGAGTACTCACTGGAAGGACAGATCCTGAAGCTGAGGCTCCAATACTTTGGCCACCTCGTGAGAAGAGAAGACTCCCTGGAAAAGACCCTGATGTTGGGAAAGATGGAGGGCACAAGGAAAAGGGGACAACAGAGGATGAGATGGTTGGACAGTGTTTTCGAAGCTACCAACATGAGTCTGACCAAACTGCGGGAGGCAGTGGAAGACAGGAGTGCCTGGCGTGCTCTGGTCCATGGGGTCACGAAGAGTCGGACACAACTAAACGACTAAACAACAACAACAATCATTGGCTCTGACTCTACTTCCTGTGGGCCTTCTCTGCATTCCCCCTACTAGTCTCAAGGGATACCAGCCTCCACTGTTAGATGTTTCAAGATGCTGGCAACATTGGGGGAAGAAAAGAGCAAAGAGAAAGGTGGAAGAAAGAGAAGAGAAGAGGATAGGAAAACAGAGAGCAACCAAGGACAAAACATTGCATGCATCCGTCCCGCCAAAGATGGCCTCTTCATCAGGAACATGGTGCAAAATGATATTAGGCCTTTGGATGTCTTTAGTAACATAGGAAATTCCATTTCTTTCTGCTAAGTCAGGGGTCAGCAAACCTTTTCATCAGGTGGCCGGTCCACTGTCCCTCAGACCTTGGGGGGTGGACTATATTGGGGGGGGTGAACGAATTCCTATCCCCCACAAATAACCCAGAGATGCATTTTAAATAAAAGGACACGCTCTACTCATGTAAAAACATGCTGATTCCTGGACCATCCGTGGGCTGGATTTAGAAGGCAATTGGGTCGGATCTGGGCCCCAGGCCTTAGTTTTCCTACCCATGTGCTAAGTGGACCATTTTCAGTTTCCTACAAACACTTACCAAGGCGACTGGGCCCACATCTTCACAAAGAAACCACTGGTGGCAAAGGCGAACGTAATAATCTGTGCCTTCAACAGCCTCTGAAATATCCACCAAAATGGTTTTTCTCACTCTGTCCACATCATAAACGATTCTGATGCCCGGAACTTGAAGGTGGGAGAGAGAGAATGGTATTAACAAACGTTTGTGCTTTAATTTTACTGTCGATGTGAATCAATATAAGATCCGGAATTCCATGACTGATTTGATTGCTATTTGGGTTTGACATTTGGTTTCAATCAGTATTAACATCACCAAGGCTACATTCCTGTCCATATTTACCTAAGAGTAAGCCCCACATTTCTCCAATGAGAGTATGGACATCCTAGTCAAATAATAATAATAATAATAATAATAGTTTACCAAAGCATGTATTTCTGTTTCTGATTAGTTTCAAACTGTAATTAGTAGAATTCAGAAACAAAGGAAGTGTTCTACATGATGTAGTGCATGTAATTTAGACCTCCTGGACCTCAGCTTACCAAAACAGACTGGAATATTTTCCTCCACATCACTGTTTCTGCAATCTGCAAAATTCAAAACAGATCATTTATTTTTCTGAGACGTCTGTCTTCTTGCCTCACAGAGCTGTTGTGCTGGGAAATGGGGACGGGACAACCATGCACCCCACCTTTCACCCCTTGAATAAAATTAAAAAATGTAAAAATTAATAATATTATTTTATGGGAAACAGAATGTTGGGCCAGACAGGCCTTTGGTCTAATCCAGTTCCTCTCTTCTCATGCCCAGCTCCACCCCATCTAACTATTGTTTGTTTCACGGTCTCCCATAGTGGGATAGAAGCTCTTTTGCCACACGTTTATTTGATTTTGTTCCCTCTTTTAAAGATACTTCTTAAAAGCCTATTTACAACTTATTTGGGGGGTTTTTTTCTCATGCAACAAAATGAAAAGCAACCTAACGGTTGACTGAAATGCTAAGCATTTTAGTGTTACGCGTTGGAGGTCAAACTACACAGCAGCTGGAAAGAGTTTTCTGTTCTCTTATTTACCAAATGCTGTAAATAAGGGAAGTCAGGCAGAACACACTTCCTAAAAAGAAATGCATGAGTTGAATCGGTTACTTGGCTTGGATGGAAATGCTAAATGGAGTTTCACAATAAGTTCTGCTTTTTGGTTGGGTCTTACTGGGAAGCCAATTAGGGTCAAATGAGATTTGATGCTCAATGCATCGTTAGAAACTACATCAAGATTTGTTAAAAAAATAATAGCTGAGCTGATTTTCACCAGGACTAGAGTGAAAGGGGAGGAGAGGTTTAATTATTTTGTCCCTAGCTATGATACCAGTGAAAATCAGCCCTTTCGGGCTGCTATTCATTTTAGGCACTTGTGGTGGAACATGGCAGGGCCGTCCTATAGGTCCTTTATACTAGGAGCAGACAAATCTGTCAATCTCAGTGTCTTCTAATTCCTAAGATATTTTTCCCCCCTAATCTTCAATTCAGTTCTCCACATTTCCAGATCAGCTCACCGTTTTTATTTTTTAAAGTCCTCATGAAAACTTGTCAGGGTTTGTGGTGAGAATTTCTCCCAGTATGCATGTTTTGCCTAACAAGTACATCTGTGAAATGCAATTTTCCTAATACAGTGGTACCTCGGGTTACATATGCTTCAGGTTACATACGCTTCAGGTTAGAGACTCTGCTAACCCAGAAATAGTACCTCAGGTTAAGAACTTTGCTTCAGGATGAGAACAGAAATTGTGCAGCGGCGGCACAGTGGCAGCAGGAGACCCCATTAGCTAAAGTGGTGCTTCATGTTAAGAACAGTTTCAGGTTAAGAACGGACCTCCGGAACGAATTAAGTACTTAACCCGAGGTACCACTGTACTTGCACCCATATATGAATTTGTAGGCACACTTTGCCCCAGGACCTGCAGTTTTGTACAAATTACTTGGCTGAAGAACTGCACTGCAAAATCTGGAGAAGTGCAGATTTTGAAGGGTGGCTGTGTTTTGGTTTGTGTGTTATTCTGGAAAGCGCAAATTCACCTTCAAATGAGAACTCAATCGAGTTCCTTCCCCAACACTACTTTAAAAGGTAAAGGGACCCCTGACCATTAGGTCCAGTCGCGGATGACTCTGGAGTTGTGGCGCTCATCTCGCTTTACTGGCCGAGGGAGCCAGCATACAGCTTCCGTGTCATGTAGCCAGCATAAGTGGCAAACCAGAGCTACGCACAGAAACACCATTTACCTTCCCGCCAGAGTGGTACCTATTTATCTACTTGCACTTTGACATGCTTTCAAACTGCTAGGTGGGCAGGGGCAGGGACTGAGCAACAGGAGCTCACCCCGTTGCGGGGATTCGAACCGCCAACCTTCTGATCGGCAAGCCCTGGGCTCTGTGGTTTAGACCACAGTGCCACCTGCATCCCTTAACACACTACTTTACACACAACTAAATATCCCCAATCTACCCAACCTGGTTCGTATTTGTTAATACAGTGGTACCTTGGTTCTCAAACGCCTTGGTACTCAAACGACTTGGAACCGAAACACTGCAAACCTGGAAGTAAGTGTTCCCGATTGCGAACTTTTTCTGGAAGCCAAATGTGCTCTGTTTTGAGTGCTATGCTTTCATTTTGAGTGCCACACTTCTGTTTTGAGTGTTACTCTGAGGTCTGTCTGTTTTTGCTATTGATTTTGTGGTTTTGCTTTTACGGCTCTTTTTGTTTTGTTTTTGTGATTGTGTGGAACCCAGTTCAGCTACTGATTGATTGTGTGACTTCAGTACATTGTTTATTGCTTCCATTTTATGGATCAATGATCTCGTTAGATAGTAAGATTCATGTTAAATTGCTGTTTTAGGGGTTGCTTTCAAAAGTCTGGAACGGATTAATCCATTTTGCATTACTTTCTATGGGAAAGCACGCCTTGGTTTTGGAACGCTTTGGTTTTGGAACAGACTTCCGGAACAGATTAAGTTTGAGAACCAAGATACCACTGTAAGTATATTTATACTTAGAGCTATATACTGTAAATCTTGAGCCAAGGTCAAGGAGAGAAGGCATTACAGTTCTGACAAGAGTTGGGATTATAGTTTTAATTTGTGAAAATTGCCAATTTCCTGGTCAGTAGGAATCTCCATTATCTCATTCATGACACCCTCCCAACCTCCAAGATCATCATTTATTTCTAAAGATGGATTCCAACCTTCAACATAATATTCTTGATCCTTTTTAACTCCGCAGTAATTTGGAATTGTCCTCATGGTCACATGGAGATGTTGTCCTGCACTGACTTCAAAGCAGTTAAACTGTACTTTCACCTGTTTGGATTACATACCAAAAAAAAATCAAGGGAATTATAGGCAATTTCCAGATCATGTTGGAAAGATTCCAAAACGAGGTTAGATTATGATCTTGTTGATTCTGCTGGGCTGATGTGTTCAAACCTGTTTTTGAACACGGTATATTTTCTATTTTCTCGCCACGATTTAAATAATCAAGAGGCATGGCATACTGGCAGGCTGCCAGGAGAAATTTCCAGGGAAATGTTTCCTGAGGTCCTCACATTTCAAGCTCATTGCTAAAATGCAAACTATAGCAAACTCAGAGTTCTGGCAATTGCTCAGATCCAATGATCCCTTGAGAATGCGGCAATTCCATTCATTCATAGCACATTTCCATCAACAACATCTTATATTGAGATGTTCCACAGGAGGAAGCTGAGGAGAACTCTCACATGTATGCATTAGGGTGGTTCATAAAAAACTTTTTTTAAAAAAATGCCTGCTCCGAAGGTCTTATCTTACTACACTAGGGATTATATAGCTATATCTGAAATTTCACGCATATCCGTTAATATCTTGACCCCCTGAATTGAAATTTCTGCCTTCACGACATAGGAAAACAGCCAAGTAAACAGCTACCATATTTTTTGCTCTATAAGACTCACTTTTTCCCTCCTAAAAAGTAAGGGGAAATGTGTGCGCTTCTTATGGGGCGAATGCAGGCTGCGCAGCTATCCCAGAAGCCAGAACAGCAAGAGGGATTGCTGCTTTCACTGCACAGCGATCCCTCTTGCTGTTCTGGCTTCTGAGAGTCAGAATATTTTTTTCTTGTTTTCCTCCTCCAAAAACTAGGTGCGTTTTGTGGTCTGGTGCGTCTTATAGAGCAAAAAATACGGAATTTTCGTAGAGGGTCACGATATTAACTGATATGCATGAAATTTCAGATATAGCTATATATTCCCTAGTGTAGTAAGATAAAACCTTTGGAGCTGGCATTTTTTTTAGAAAAAAGTTTTTTATGAACCGTCCTAGTATACATCACAGCATGCTCAAAGATTTGCATTATGTTAAACGGGAATCTTTCACTGAAATCAGCAGTGAATCACTCATCGGTATTGCAGCGAATGAGACTGTACAGGTTTTAAAGCTCATGGTCTCTGAAATTTAGGCTGCAATCCTATGCATTGGGACCTAGTAGAAATTCCCACTGCGCACTTCCATCAATGCATATGAGTACTGACCCTGATTCAGCTTTGCTTGCAGGGAAGACGCTGAGCTTAGCAGCAGTTCTGACTATGAATGCACATTCTCCTATGCATCAAACTATGCTTCTAGCATTATTCAAAGAGTCTCAGACGCGCCTCTTGAGAATTCGTTTGCCCAGCTGCATCTACATTGGTGTATCTCTTGTTTCCTCCATCTCCTTGGTCAATCGGGACAATGATCAAACCTCTAGCCCCAAACCAGCATTAAGTCCAGGGTTCGCAAAAGAAATGTAGCCATAAAACACTTTCCATGAATAGATTCACTATATATGACAGGGCCTTCTCTGTGGTAGCTCCCCATTTGTGGAATGCCCTCTCTGCTGGTGTGCATGTCTTTCTCCCTCCTTTATTGGCTTTCAGGAAGAATTTAAATACCCAGGTTGATAGATACTGGTCATGGCAACCTTGAAATTAGCAATTGTGATTGCTCTTAAACGTTTCTTAGGTGCTCTAAATGCTTTCAAGTGTTTAAAATATGTGTTTATTTTAGTTTAAATTGTACTGTTTTAACTGTCTGGTGTGTGCCACCCTCGGCTCCTTTGGAAGGAAGGGATGATATCTAACAGAATGAATGAATGAATGAATGAGAGATCAGAATTTCAAGGTTCCTACCAGATGACATGTTTATAGAGCATCGTTTCGCACAAATTTTGTGATATTGATTATTCATTCTGATTGATTTGTGGGGAGGTTATACAGCATCACATCAAGTAACCCCACACTTTTCAGTGCATTTCCCCATCATTTTTTGTACCCAAAAAAGTAAAAGGGTAGCTTGGAAGCAGGTTTACTGTGCAAGAAGTCAAATCCACTTTGATTTGAATTTTGCCCATTGAATCACCCCACAGCCGCCCCCAAAAGCAGACAGTCTGGAAATGACTCGATAAAGTGAGGGGGTATGTTAGAACTGACGGTTTTGAAATAAAGGGTTTTTGTGATGACCAGCAGACATGCGAAGCAAACAGCATAAGGCATCATTAGTTTTTCATTAACTGTGGATTTATTTTATATATATATATATATATATATATATATATATACACACACACACACACACACACACACACACACATACACACACACACACACACACACACACATGAAGGCATCTGGGAACAATGACATGAAATACCCTAAGCCCACACAACACACATAAGGCCATTATGGTGCTTTCATAATATCAATGCAAACATAAACCACAATATCTTCTTCAGACAGACACGAACCCGTCTGCAAATGTGGTAGCAATTACAATCAAACGCTTGCTCCTCTTTTATCAGAGCTGCAGATCCTGTTCAAATAGCTTCAGTCTCACTCGGTGCCTGCAGTTCTTCCCTGGTTCAATTATTACTAAAGCAAGGAGCCAAGAAGTGGGAATGGCCTGGGGTGGCCCAATAGAACTATAGGTCAGAAATAAGTTCCTGGGCAAACATTCATCCCCAGTTCTCCTCAACATCCTACGTTCCAAAACCACTTGTTTTCTGGTTTATATTAATGGGGGCAGGGGGACATTGTTAAGTATAAGCTTCTGCTGTCTCGGCTGTGTACACACCATCAATTCAACGCACATCACTTTTGCAAAATAATTCTGGGAACTGTACAGTTGTACCTTGGATCCCGAACGACTTGGCTCCTGAAAAAAATTGGCTCCGGAACGATTGAAACCTGGAAGCGAGTGTTCCAGTTCTCGAAAGATTTTTGGAAGCCGAACATCCAGCATGGCTTCTGCAGTTTCCGATTGACTGTAGGATGCTCCTGTAGCCAATTGGAAGCCGCGCTTTGGTTTCCGAACATTTTGGAAGTCTAAAGGACTTCCAGAATGGATTCCGTTCGACTTCCAAAATACGACTGTGCTTTGTTAAGGGTGCTGGGAACTTTAGATCTGTGAGGGTAAACTATGGCTCCCAGGATTCCATGGGGGAAGTAATGTGCTTTAAATATATGATATATATACACAGCCTTGCATTTAATAGCTTGTTCTTAAAATCTCAAAACGGCAAAGATTTGACAACAGTCTAATGAAGCATTTACCTTCCTAACAGCAGACTTTACATTTATGTCCTTCAATATCTTCACTCTCACACACTGAGAGTTCTGCGTTTCCATTGAGAGATAGCAAATTTCAATGCCACGGATATTTTCTAAAAAGAAATTTAGAAATACTTGTAAGTCCTGCTCTCTTCTCAAACTTATTTGGCCTACAGCCCCCTTTTCAGGCAAAAAAATATTACTTAGCACCACCCTGGAAATATATCTTCTTTAAGCAAACAAACAGAAAGATGCAGTGTTGATGGACTTGACCACTGATCGGTTATAACTTGTGTGTTTATTTGGAAAATAAAGCAATTGCTACAGCTTTAACTCTATGTTTCATCGGTAAGCATCATTATGTGACCCCTGAGCCAAGGAGATTGTTATTATTGACTAAGAAGGTAAAGGTACCCCCTGACCGTTAGGTCTAGTCACGGACAACTCTGGGGTTGCGCGCTTATCTTGCTCTATAGGCCAAGGGAGCCTGTGTTTGTCCGCAGACAGCTTCCGGGTCATGTGGCCAGCATGACTAAGCTGCTTCTGGCAAACCAGAGCAGCACACAGAAACACCATTTACCTTCCCACCGAAGCGGTACCTATTTATCTACTTGCACTGGTGTGCTTTTGAACTGCTAGGTTGGCAGGAGCTGGGACCAAACAACGGGAACTCACCCCATCGAGGGGATTCGAACCACCGACTTTCTGATCGGCAAGTCCTAGGCTCTGTGGTTTAACCCACAGCGCCACCCGCATCCCTCTCTTACCAGTTAGTTTCTTTAATAAACACAGCGAAGGACAAAAGAAAACATCTTACCAGAATGGTGGTGCTCCCAATGAAGGACCGCACCCTCTTCCATCCCTATTAATCTACATCACTACACTACATCTTGTAATCTGATCTTGTACCCTCTGTGTTTTCTGTGCAGTGCCAGATTTACGTATAAGCTAAACAAGCTATAGCTTAGGGCCTCACAAATAAAAAACAGATAAAATAAAACCTACATACAGCAACAGTGTTTTGTGTTGTGTAGGCTCCTATTTTGTTATGTGCAAATGGCTTTAGATACCTATTAGGTCCATAAATTACCATATAGCATACAGTGGTACCTCGGGTTACAGATGCTTCAGGTTACAGACTCCGCTAACCCGGAAGTAGTACCTCAGGTTAAGAACTTTGCTTCAGGATAAGAACAGAAATTGTGCGGTGGCAGCGGGAGGCCCCATTAGCTAAAGTGGTACCTCAGGTTAAGAACAGTTTCAGCTTAAGAACGGACCTCCAGAACGAATTAAGCTCTTAACCTGAGGTACCACTGTATATTCAGCACAAAAAACAGCAGCAATTTGTTGTTGACAAAGGACAGCTGGACATATAAAGGGCCCCATTACCTTCAGTAGCTTAGGGCCTCATCAAACCTAAATCCGGCCCCATTTCTGAGATTTTCCGAGCTCTTCTTGACCTTGGGCTGAGCGGAGGAATGAATCTGTTAACTCTCTCTCTCTTCTAGTGTTTCTTCTGCTAGCTGCTCCCCATCCAGTATTTCCCAGCTTCTGCCTTCTGAACTATGCCCCTCTGTGAACCACTGTTCCAAATCTATACTGTCCTCCTGCTCCTGGGAAGATTCAGGGTTAGGGGGAGGGGGTGGGAGCCTTCCTCAGCACGGTCCCTGACCAAAGGGTTTACCGAAGCCCAGGAAAACCCATTGCCTCCGGCACAACTGCCGGATCCAGAGTAGGCATTGTCGCCATCCTGCCATGGCGCCCAACCTGTTTGTTGCAGAGATTCCACAATGAATCCTACTTACCCTCAAGATGTAGTGTCCCCTTAACACTCAAGAGAAGAGAGCATTCCCTTTGTCCTGCACACTTCATGGTAGTCCACAGCTTCATGCTTCTCAGGGTGGTAGGAGAGAGAGAGGCAGGAGCAGGATGGCAGAAGCTGCTAAGAATCCCACCTGTGGATAGACCTATATATTTAAAAAGTGCATGAAATGGTTTTTTTTTAAGAGTTGTCCCTAGGAACAATCTCTGCTCGTTGGCAGGAGGCTTCTCTTAAAATCATCTTTGCGTGACACCGCCCAGCCCCAGGAACATAGGCGGGGATAAAGACTCTGACAATGAACCAGACAGGGAGGAGCGGTGGAAGATTGATGAAATTCAAGACTATCTTCAGAAACATTTCGTGTATTCAAAGAATGTTGGACGATGTTGACAGCAAGTAAGATGTTTAAGCTGTAAGGTGTTAATGATAGAATAAAGATTAAGTATTAGATTAGAAAATGGTTTAAAGAAATTGAAGATATATATTACAATATTATATTACAGTTAAAGATAGAGGACTCTAAAAAGTTGACAAAATAAGCTGGACAAAGCTGAATTTAGATTGAAATCCCAAAAGAGGAGGTATGAGGTCCAGAAATAAGTTAACTAAAGCGGAATGAAAGAAGATGTTTTACATTATTAGGTTTTGTTTTTTGTTGAACTGTGTTCTTTCTGCGTGTTTTATTTATTTTCTTTCTTTTAGATATGTATGTGTATGTTTCTCTTCTCTTCTGTTGTTCAAAACTTAAATAAAATTATTTTTAAAAATAAATAATAAAGACTCTAGGCAATGTTATGGAATTAAATTAGCCCACAACTGTGCTGCTTCCAGATGTAGAAAGACCTTGGCTTAGGACTTGGGCGTGTATCCCTCCCAGCCCCCCAGTCGGGGGAACTGGGGTGCATCAGGGTAAATGGGATATGGGGGTGCAATGTGAGACGTAAGCCCATATCCCCGCACGCAGGGTAGTTCACTGACAACTTTTCAGTGTATGGCCAGTGACACCCACTATATAACCCTTTTAAGAGGGGCCCCTGGAATAGCCACTGCAGGGGGGTGAGTCCCCACTTCATCCCCCCACCCCATTATAGGGAAGAAAAGACCAAAGGATTCCACCCAAGGCCATAACCGCCAAAGTTGTGGCGAATTGCTACGGGGAAGACAAAACCTGCCAATGCAGGAAAATTTCTTTCCGATCCTTCAACAGCAACCAGTCAAAGACCGCAGCAGCGCACCCTAAACAGGAAGAAAAAATTAACCTGCAAACAAGAAAACATTAAACAAAGGGAGGGTAGGGAGGGTGAATCTCCAGAGCCAACTGCCTGACTATTGTCAGCTCCACCCCCTATATATAAATGGGACTGGCCCCACTTCCCAGCAAGAAACTTGATTACTGAGGCTGGGTGTGAACCTCCAAAGAATAACACTGAGAGGCAGGCCAGCCCCTGTTTGCCATTAAGCTCCCTGGGAACTGTAGCACCGTGCGTGATCCCACAAAGGGCACCCACAATGTAAAGTGTGAGTGCTTATTCTCTGCCACTGGACTCCATCATGTCTAGCCAAAATAAACACTACAATTTCTCCCATATTCTGGAAAGGCTGTAGAGATAGGCTCATATTATCAGCAGCCTGATTAACAATAGCCCGGTACTGGAAACAACCTAAAGAAATCCCCATTGAAATCTGGGTAAATAATATTTGGAATGTGGCTCTATGGGAACGCCTTCCAAGCCACAGAAGCGTAATTAAAGGCACTTCCAAGATGGACACTTTTGACGAGACTTGGCTTCCATTCTTTTCCTTTATAAATGAGGCAGAAGATACTTTTATTCCACCCTCAACACAAGAATCTTTGTGGAGAGGATACTTAATGTTTTATTATGTTTTTATATATGTTGGAAGCTGCCCAGAGTGGCTGGGGCAACCCGGTAAGATGTGTAGGGTATAAATAGTAAAATTATCCTTAGGGGATGGGACGTCCCTATTTTCACCGTGGAACTGTTGGAGAGTATGGAATTGATAATGCATAAATTAACATATTCCTTGTGTACTGTGTACTGCATATGAAACTTTATACGAATGTACCACTGGACTAGCTACAGAAGTTGTATGTTGTTCTTGTATTTACATGAAGACCAATAAAATTATTTTAAAAAGAGAGAGAGAGAGAGAGAGAGAGAGAGAATGTTTTTAAAAGCAAGTGCAATAGCCAGGTTGGGTTGCAAAGCATTTAGGAAGCATTCAAGAGAATAGGGATATTCATGGTTTCTTCTGCAGACAAAAACTCAATATTTGCCCTTTCTGCTGCATCAGATCAGAACTAGCTCCACTGGGCCTAGAGTGGTGAAGCTGTGACCCGCCAGATGTTTGCTGAACTACAACTCCCATCAGTAGAGTTGGCCAAGGTTCAGGGATGATGGGAATTGAAGTCCAATATCAGACAAACAAAAGTTTCCATGCCGTTGGCCCACAGGACCTGAGCTGCTCTGATTATCTTGGGGGGCGGGACTAAATTAATAGCACACTTAATGATGTTGGGTGTTTCTTCTTCCAATGTCAAGCCCATTAGATATTTCTGGGGAATTACAGTGGTGCCCCGCAAGACGAATGCCTCACAAGACGGAAAACCCGCTAGACGAAAGGGTTTTCCGTTTTGGAAAGTGCCATAAAACAATTTCCTATGGGCTTGCTTCGCAAGACGAAAATGTCTTGCGAGTTCCTGCGGGTTTTTTCCCCTTTCCCCCCCCCTTTTTCTAAGCCGCTAAGCCGCTTATCCTCTTATCTGATAAGCCGATAAGCCGCTAAAAGCCGCTAATAGCGCTAATCCGCTAATCCGTCAATGGGCTTGCTTCGCAAGACGAGAAAACCGCAAGACGAAGAGACTCGCGGAACGGATTCTTTTCGTCTTGCGAGGCACCACTGTATTATTGGACTGAGGATTCGAATTCCAAAGTGGAAGGACTCCTGCAAAGCTGTGGCTAAATGGCAGATTTACACAAGAGGGCACCAAAGCCTTCCAAACCATTTGGTCTGAATATTTTTGCTATCACAGACACAAAGATTTCTCATCTACTGATCTTATTTCACACGACTCTATGGCAATCTGATGAAGGGCCTATTGGATTAAATGTTTCTGGTGCTGGAGTTTCTTCTGGTGGGTTAATTGATGGGTTATTATTAGGTTTGGGGCATTTGGGGGCTTTTAACCTTTTCGGAAGTTGCTTGGAGACTTTTTGTACTAAGCAACAAGTGAGTCAGAATACAATCATCACCATCATCAGATCAATACAAGAACTACTGAATGTGGATTTTCTTACAAATGCGTGCTACTCACTGTGGAGGAATGCCACAAGGTGTCATGCTTAGGGCTTTTCCAAGGTTATTATGGGAATTTTCATATAAGCATATTCTGGGGAATCCTGAGGATGTATGGAAGCTTATCATTCCTTCTTCAGAAGGAAGATCAGCAATGACTGAGATCTTTCTCCCAAAGGCAGTTTGCCTATAACAACTTTCTAGAAGAAGAAGAAGAAGAAGAAGAAGAAGAAGAAGAAGAAGAGGAGGAGGAGGAGGAGGAGGAGGAGGAGGAGGAGTTTGGATTTGATATCCTGCCTTTCACTCCCTTTAAGGAGTCTCAAAGCGGCTAACATTCTCCTTTCCCTTCCTCCCCCACAACAAACACTCTGTGAGGTGAGTGGGGCTGAGAGACTTCAAAGAAGTGTGACTGGCCCAAGGTCACCCAGCAGCTGCATGTGGAGGAACCGAGACACGAACCCGGTTCCCCAGATTAGGAGTCTACCGCTCTTAACCACTACACCACACTGGCTCTTGAGAGATGAACAAGCGGGAGACTGTTCCTGATATTCTGGCTTGATCTGTATCTGTATTGGACTTGAAACTGTTTTAGAGATGTTCTTATTCTTGATGTTCTTATGGTTTAATCACTTCGGGTTGTTTAGGGGAAGTGATTCCTAAATGAAATAAATAATACGACAAGAGGCACAGAAGGGTTGGGTATGTTCCAGGGCGTGCAATACGATTCCTTAGATGATTAGACCCAACATGTCTGACCAACTCTCTATATGAATTGAGTGGGTTTCCTAGAACATACGACTCTTCCAAGAGTCCTCTGTGACACAGAGGATTCTGTGATACTTTGGTACTTCGGGTTACATATGCTTCAGGTTACATACGCTTCAGGTTACACACTCTGCTAACCCAGAAATAGTGCTTCAGGTTAAGAACTTTGCTTCAGGATAAGAATAGAAATCGTGCTCCGGCAGCGCAGCGGCGGCAGGAGGCTTGAGGTGCTTCAGGTTAAGAACAGTTTCAGGTTAAGAACGGACCTCCGGAACGAATTAAGCACTTAACCTGAGGTACCACTGTATAGGCTAGGGATGGAAGATAAAATCATTTGGTGAGCATTTTAAATCAAACAGATCTAATTTGCTGGTTTCTGATTTATGTATGCAAATCAGAACACAGCTATCCATCAGAGTACACACGTCTCTAAATTTTGCAGTTTTTCCAAAAAAATTATGCATATTTTACTGGGAGAGGCATTGAAAAACAAACAAACATGTGCATTTTAAAGGAAGAATGTGTTTGCCATATGTACAAAGTACATACAGTTTACATGCAAATTTGGCATGTTTGTTTTATTCGCACACACAAAACTGGGACTTGACTGGCCCTGTGATTCAGCACTTGTGAAACAGTCATAGGCTGGAAATAGGTTGGGCCATCCATACCTCTTAATTTCAAGGTAATGAGTTTGAGTCCCACACTGGGCAAAAGATTCCTGCATTGCATGGGATTGGACTGGGTGACCCCTGTGGTCTTTTCCAACTCTACAATTCTATGATTCTATGATCCCTGGGATAGACGAGGGGGTGCAGAAGTGTATAGCAGCCCATGAAGGGAGAAAGTTTGAAAGCTGCTGGCGTTAGGCATTAAGAAAGTAGGAAGCACAAATATTCAGTGGTGATGGAATGATAAAGGGACCCCTGACCATTAGGTCCAGTTGTGGCCAACTCTGGGGTTGCGGCGCTCATCTCGCTTTATTGGCCGAGGGAGCTGCCTTACAGCTTCCGGGTCATGTAGCCAACATGACTAAGCCGCTTCTGGCGAACCAGAGCAGCACACGGAAACGCTGTTTACCTTCCTGCCAGAGCGGTACCTATTTATCAACTTGCACTTTGACGTGCTTTCGAACTGCTAGGTTGGCAGGAGCAGGGACCAAGCAATGGGAGCTCACCCCATCACAGGGATTCGAACCACCGACCTTCTGATCGGCAAGTCCTAGGCTCTGTGGTTTAACCCACAGCACCACTGGTCACTAACAGCTGAACTAAGAGATCTTATGCAGAAGCCTTAGTTTCCACATGGAGGTGTTCCTTTGCTTAATAGTGTCTCTGTATAAAAACCAGGCCCCATTTTTATATTAGATTTAAGGCTGCTATTCAAGTCTTACATGTGTTGTGATATACAGTGGTACCTTGGGTTACAGACCATTCAGGTTACAGACACTCCAGGTTACAGACTCTGCTAACCCACAAATAGTACCTCAGGTCCTTTATACTAGGAGTAGACAAATCTGTCAATCTCAGTGTCTCCCAAGTTCTGAGATTTTTTTTTTGTAATCTTCAATTCAGTTCTCCACATTTCCAGATCAGTTCACCGTTTTTATTTTTAAAAGTCCTCATGAAAACTTGTCAGGGTTTGCGGTGAGAATTTCTCCCAATATGCATGTTTTGCCTAACAAGTACATCTGTGAAATGCAATTTTCCTAATACAGTGGTACCTTGGGTTACATATGCTTCAGGGTAAATACGCTTCAGGTTACAGACTCCGCTAACCCAGAAATAGTACCTCAGGTTAAGAACTTTGCTTCAGGATGAGAACAGAAATCGTGGCGGCGGTGCAGCAGCAGGAGGCCCCATTAGCTAAAGTGGTACCTCAGGTTAAGAACAGTTTCAGGTTAGAACGGACCTCCAGAACGAATTAAGTTCTTAACCCGAGGTACCACTGTATTTTGGCAAGCCAGCCGTTGAGAATCACTGGTGATGTCTATAGCTGAGCAGGCACTTTCAAGGAGCAAGCTCTGAAGCAGTTATGAAGTCCACTTAGGTATTTGAAAACTTTAATTTCTAGAGCAATGAAAAGGTTATACTTACTAGAAGATTGTGTTCTGCAAATAAATCCCTGAAGAAAGAAAAATGAAAGAAGAAAAAAGCCGTTAGTTTAAACTGTGTGTCTAAGGAATAAAAGGCACTCTTCTTACAAAGTTATTATGTATGACAATGACAAGCATATGTTCAGACATTATCAGCGGCAGAGAAGGGCACTCTGAAAGTCCAATCCTTAAAAAAGAAGGTAGAATTATTTGTTCTTCTGGGATAGACATGGGAAACCTGTGAACCTCCAAATGTCGTTATCCCAGCTTCCATCAGCCCCTGTCAGCATATCTGTGGGTCAGGGATGATGGGGGTGAGGAGCCCAGCAAACATTAGAGAACCACAGTTTCCCCACCCCTTTATGGACCAAAACAACCTGTAGCCAGGATTCAAAATATAGTTAGATGTCCAGAAAACTACTGGTTTCGTTGGGTTAAAGATGGTGGGGAGAAAATGTTGGTCCAGAACCTTTTCTGTCCTTATGACATCAGATGATTGACAGCTGCGTTGCCCTGCCCACCTGTCAAAGTTCTTAATGCCCAAGGGCACTGACTCGGGGTGGCAGTGGCCTGGTCTCTTTGGGTCCCCTGAATAATACAGCCTTGCAAGTCAAACATCTAAAATTGTTATTTGATCCGGAGGGAACAACTAGAGTAGTTCCTTTGATTTGATCTGTTCCTTGGGTAATCCACGATCTTGCCTTCTCTCAGAAGACCAAGATTTTTGGCTGCAAACCTGCTTAAAGCTCCTAGGCTTCATGGGAATAAAAGCACAGCCTTTCTCTTGAGAGAGGTGGACAATGAACAGTCGGTACTTTTTCTGGACTTGACTGTTTGATGCCCTTTCATGACACCCCCCACTGCAAAAAAAAAACCAACAACCCAAAAAAACCAGCTGCCCGAGGCAGCTGCCTTAATTGGCCAAATGATAGGCCCTGCCTCAGTTCCTCTATAAGTCTCAGATGTGTTTATTTGCATCTATGCATCCAACCATCACAGAGCAAAAGCTTGGCAAGCAAAGGGAAAATCAGATCTGTGTCAAGGCTACCATCAGATAGCATAAATAAAATTTTACACAAACTTGAATTCAATTATGCAAAAACATAGGCAGACTGAAAATTCTGAAACTCCCTGGCAGAATACCATTTCACAAACATGTGTGTGTGTGTGTGTGTATGTATACACACACAGAGAGAGACACACACACAGTGCTTTTTTTTCTATAAAAAAATGTTTAAGGGTACTCTCATTTTCCTACTCATGTTGAAATACTGCCCCTCGATGAGGCCAAACTTAGATTTACAAAATGTTTAGGGATAATATGCAAACCCCTGCATCCCCACAGAAAAAAGCACTGTGTGTGTGTGTGTGTGTGTGTGTGTGTGTGTAACTATATATATATATATGTATGTATGTGTATATGTATATATTTTCTGTTAGTATTAAATGATGCATTTATTTTTAAGATTTCCTACCAGCCCTTCACTGGAGGTCAGTTTTCAACGTTACACTATCCAGTTATAAAAGCAAGCAAAACAACGACAGCTATACAAGCAGTGAAACTGTTCCAGACCAAAGCAGGGCAAGGATGGTGTGGCTGACTGCTTTTGTTTGGGTTGGCTTGTGTTTTTTAAGAACTCCAGATATTTGGGGAAATTCATTTCTGAGAATTCTTTGCGGTGACCCACTAACCTACATTCAGCAGAAGAATTAGGCAAAACATGACTCATAAATTACCCAAGAAGTACTTTTTCCCCATCTGTATAATTTGCTCAGTCGCACTGTGTACACACATGCTGTAATAATTAAGGGTGTTGTGGAAAAGAAGAAAAGGGGGTCATTGTTCAAACAGGTCACCAGGGGTGAGCATCAGTAGAGTGCAGTGATTTTTTTTCATAGGGGAACACTTAGGGCCGGAGGCAGCAGCTTGAGAGGATGATGAGGGGGGCGATGTCCTGACATCGTGCATGTGAGAATTGCGCCTCCCTCCTGAAGCCGTGAGGAAGCTTCCGGAGCTTTGGGAAAGAAGTGCCGGATCTCTCACAGGAGGCTGGAGCCCTGCTGCCTCTTCCCAAAGCTGGGTGGGCTTGGAGAATGTGGCGGGAGTGCTCTGTTTTATTATTATTACAAAAATTATTATTACTTTTATTTCGACAAAGTAATAGGTAAAGGTACCCCTGACCATTTGGTCCAGTCGCGGACGACTCTGGGGTTGTGCGCTCATCTCGCTCTATAGGCCAAGGGAGCCGGCGTTTGTCCGCAGACAGCTTCCGGGTCATGTGGCCAGCATGACTAAGCCACTTAGACCATCGCGAGAGGTGTTGAAATTTTGGGAAGTTGGATAGTTACAATGGAATGGTCTCGGGGGTGGGGTGCACATTATTATTCTTATTTATTTATGATTATTACTTTGTCAAGGACACGGGTGGCGCTGTGGTCTAAACCACAGAGCCTAGGGCTTGCCAACTGGAAGGTCAGCGGTTCGAATCCCCGTGACGGGGTGAGCTCCCACTGCTTGATCCCAGCTCCTGTCAACCTAGCAGTTCAAAAGCACGTCAAAGCGCAAGTAGATAAATAGGTACTGCTCCGACGGGAAGGTAAACGGTGTTTCTGTGCGCTGCTCTGGTTTTGACAGAAGCATCTTAGTTATGCTGGCCACATGACCCAGAAGCTGTCTGCGGACAAACGCCAGCTCCCTCAGCCTATAGAGCGAGATGAGCGTGCAACCCCAGAGTCGTCCGCAACTGGACCTAATGGTCAGGGGTACCTTAACCTTTACCTTTTAGCTCCAGGATTCCACATTCTTCCACAAGACCCTGCCAGAGTATTCAGAGCATCCTTTGAGACTTATCTTCAAGCCTACCTGCCTTCAGAGGTGAGGCAACTTGCAAAGGGGCTTTTTCCATGCAGTCCCTCAGCTTGAGAATGTCTTCCCCAAGGAGGCTTACTAGGCCGTGAGAATTATGTCTTTTTTGCCCATGGCATTCCATGGCACTGTGCCAATTGAAACAGCTTTTCGATTTGTTGATCCTTTAGGCCATTTATGTTTCCGATTTATTTATTTTTAATACACTTATATTTACTGCAGGTCTAATGGTTTATGTCACTGTTGTGCGACTCTCTTTTTAAATGCTTTCGCTGTGTTTAATTTTCTTACAAGTCACTCCGGGGGAGATCTTTTGGACTTGAGAAACAGGATTTACACAAAACAAACACAATTTTTTATTTCTCTTGCTCTTTGTCTACAGTGGTGCCTCGCAAGACAAAATTAATTTGTTCCGCGAGTTTTGTCGTCTTGCGATTTTTTTCGTCTTGCGAAGCACGGTGTCGGGAAAGTTTTGGAAAAGCTTCAAAAATCACCAAAGTCTTTAAAAACCTCAAAAAAGGCTACCACACCGCGTTCTATGAGTTGCTCCTCGAAGTCAAGTCGCAACTGTATTAACGGTGTTAAGAAAAGGAAACAAACTTGCAAGACGTTTCTGTCTTGCGAAGCAAGCCCATAGGGAAAATCGTCTTGCGAAGCAGCTCAAAAAACAAAAAACCCTTTCGTCTAGCAAGTTTTTTGTCTTGCGAGGCATTCGTCTTGCGAGGTACCACTGTATTTGCATCAATGGAATTTGTTGGGGGGGGGGGATGGAGGGTTATAACCATGCACGCACACACATGAAAATGGTCATGATTGCTAGCAGTGCCAAAGAGATAAGAAATGGATCTCTGTCAGATTTACTGCCTGATTTGCAAAGTCAGATTCTGTTTCCTGGTACAAGGGAAAGAAGACTGCTGAGTCACTCTTCTCTACACAATAAAGAGGGACCTGAAATCTCTGCTTATCAGTAAAGCTGGGCACAATATAATTTGCATGCATATTAAAAGTGTGTTCCTCATCACTCATAAAATTAGCCAGGAGCAGAAGTCTCAAACTCTCACTTCTCAGGTGTGGATTTGCTTGAGCATTTTTTTTGCTGTTTGGTTAATGGCATCAGGATCTTGAGGAAGGCAAGGCAAATAAATGTACAAAGATAAATTGCTATTGTTACGCACCAACCCAATCGCCACAGCTGTGCAAGATTCCAGGGATTCTAGACGCTTGCCTGGGGTTTGTGTTTCCTTTGGAAATAAGGCACAGCAAAGACTGTAGTGTCTTTATCATATATGGATGATTTACACATATATACGACCTGAATCTCGGATAGAGGGGTGTACAGCATTACATTCAAGAGGGTCTCATAGGCACAGTCCTGGGTTCAAGCAGCCATTAACCTATCTTCCTGTCACTCTGCAGCTTGCCTTGCTCCCCCCCCCTTCCATAACTCCTAATTTTGCACTAGGCAACTGCCTAGATGGCTTTTCCATTGCCTCACAGCTTTCCGACTTTTCCTTTAGAACACACCAGGGCAAATTGCAAACCTGAAACTCTACTACGGGTCTTTGTTCTTCTACCCAACTCAAGGAAAGGCACCTCTCTCTCGCAAAATCCCTAACGGCTTATCACTTTCCTTTTTTCTTCCTTAATGGCCCATCCTAGGTGATCCCCTGAACATGCCTGGTTTGATTTTAACATGCTAAATCCAGTGTCCAGCACCTGGGAATTAGAAGTGTGGTCCAGGAATTAGAAGGCAGGTCAAGGCACCCACAAACTCATAACGCTATAATGCGATGAGTATGGGACTTTTCTTGCTGTTATCATTTTTCTTTACTGTTTCCAGTCGATTATCAGCAATAAAGTTCTTTGTTTTGTTTTCAGTAGGTTATCAGCAATAAAGTTCTTTGTTTTGTTTTCAGCTTCTTCCTGGCTGGTGGATTGTATTATCGTAGGTCAAAGTGGAAGCTATAGGTTGAGCTATGGAACAGTCCCTCCTATTGGTTAAAATCAGGCTGCACACCCTCCTAGGCCACATCTCTCCGGACCAGACTATTCACCGCAGTGGTGTAGCGTGGATTGCTAGTGCCCGGGGCAACGCAGAGGGGATGGGAAGGAGAGAAACAGACGGAGTACACATGCACATTCAACTGCTTAACAGCATCTGCATCACCCAGGGGATAGCAGCTGCAGAGATAAGAAGAGTCGTCCCTTTGTCTGGAGAGGTCATTTCCTGGTTTGAATGGAGAAGCTGTTTTCAACAGAGCCTACTTATGGAAGTGCACAGCTGCACCAGGTATTGAAATGTTGCACCCCCTAACACTTTTGCATCTGGGGCAACTGCCCTTGTCTCCCCCCATCCTTCCCATGCTACACCACTGATTCACCAGCCTTGTTTTCACCCTCACTGGATATTTTTACCTGGCTAGCAGGTGCCCTTGATCTCTGAAAATTCTTCCTGCTCACCTGGATAGAGACAGAGAGGGACATGTGCTTAGAGACTTGCCCCCTGTACAAAAATAAAATTAGCATTTTCTGCTCTGCCCACCACCAGAATGTGCACACACACACACATCCTGATGCCACTGAGACAACTTTTTCAAGGAAATACACTTAGGAACTGTAGCCTTTTCAACGTCACGGGAAAGATTTGATTTCGCCTTTACCAGGGACTGTCCCTTAGCTCAGCCTACTAGCCAAGATATATATAGCTAAGATGAAGCCATACTGAAGAAGCTTAGTGCGAACAGCAATCCACAAACCAGGAAGAAGTTTAAAAGGGAAACAAAATAAAAGACAAGCGTTCTTTATTGCCCGTACTGGAATTATACAAGGAAGTAATGAATAAAATGCTGACAGTAATTATGGGGGGGGGAAGACCTGTGAAAGCATTCTGAGGGAAAGGGAATGTTGCCTTAAATGATCTCAAACAAACATGCTGATTTTGGCTTCCCCGTGTCCGAAAGGGTACACAAACTGTCTTAAGAGCATGACTGCGCAGCGTTTGATGTCATACGTAGCCCTGACCTGGAGCCAGGTATGGAGTCCTGCAAGCACAAACCAGCGAGGCTCTTCACGGGGTCTCTGCCATGGGAGCATATTCACCCAGTGCTTTTCCAATTGCACCGGTCCCCAGTGGAGTACAGGGTCAGATTTAAGGTGCTGGTTTTGACCTTTAAAGCCCTTCACGGCCTAGGACCCTTATACCTACAGGACCGCCTCTCCTGGTATGCCCCACGGAGGACCTTAAGGTCCATAAATAGCAAAACCCTAGATGTCCCGGGCCCTAAGGAAGTTAGATTAGCCTCAACCAGAGCCCTCCCCAGCCAGGACTGGGCTCAGGGCGGCTAACACCAGGTATAAAACAATTGATTAAAATACAACTTAAAAACAAGATTAAAATACAACATTAAAATGCAGCCTCATTTCAGTAGAAACTCAAATCAAAAACTTTTTGGGGATGAAAACATCAAATCTTCACCAAGGCCAACTATCTACACTGGTCATACATGGGCCAGAAAAAAAGCCAAGGAAGTCCCCAAATAGGAGTTTCATCACAGAAGGAGAAAGGTAAGAGGGGAAGGGGATCAAGTTGATTCCAAGCCAAAGGCTAGGTGGAACAACTCTGTCTTACAGGCCCTGCGGAAAGAAATCAGATCCTGCAGGACCCTGGTCTCATGAGACAGAGTGTTCCACCAGGTCAGAGCCAGTGTTGAAAAGGCCCTGGCTATGGTTGATGCCCTGCCACGGGTCCTGCCTGGTATATGTGCACCACGGGTGCCAATAAAGGGTGAGGCACCAGCTCAGCTGAGAGAACCAAGATGGAGAGCATCTCCACTCCCACCCACCCCCCAGCCCAGCACAAGGGGGGTTAGTAAGTATAGTGACAGCGTGGTTTAAGAACAGTTTAGATTATGAACAACTTGGATTAAGAACGCTGCAATCCCGGAAGTAGGTGTTTTGGTTTGTGAACTTTGCCGTGAGATAAGAACCTGTTTTGCTTCCTGTCGAGTGTGTTGCATTTGTAAAACTGAGTCCCCCGCTGCTATGGGAAAGCACGCCTTGGTGTAAGAATGTTTTGGTTTAAGAACGGACTTCCAGAATTCAATGTCTTGACCAGAAGTCATAAACAATCTGTCCCTGTCAACATCAACAGAAGATAATAACCATCAAAACATATACAGCCAAATCATAGACACTCCTCATGGGTTTCTAGAGGAGAAGCAGACTCGCTACAGCAAAAATCAAATATCATCCTATTGCTGTCAGCAAGCAAGAGCTTTACACTAGTGGCCAAAATTGTGGACACCTTTTGGAAAAAAGGTATTTCTTATGTTTGATGGCTCATAACACCACTTTTTTTGGGGGGGAACCATACCATAAAATTATAAATCAGTGGAAAGATAATTTAATGAAGAATGCAATGCAACAAGGTTTGTTCAATTATCTGTATTCTATCCAAAGCTATAGCCAAATAACCAGAAAAAGGTTGATATGCCATAGCTTGCCTTCATTTGAATGTAGCCAAGGAATGGGGCAGGAACCTTTCTACATATGTGGTGGGAGTGCAAAGAGATAGTGGAATTCTGGGAAAATATCTATAACGAACTGAAAAAGATTTTTAGATTTTCATTTGGGGGGAAAAACAGAATCCTTTCTCCTAGGTATCATGTCAGAGGAAATAAAAAGAACGGTCAGACCAATATTTATGTACGCAACTATGGTGGCAAGGTTATTGATGGCCAAAAATTGGAAAAGTAGCAGCGTCACAACTAAAACAGACTGGTTATCTAAAATGATGGAATACTTCCATATTGCCGAACTAACAGGGAGGATAAGAGGAGATATGGTACAAAAAGTGAATAAGGAGTGGGCTATCTTTAAGGAATACATCAAAATTTATGTGGAAAAAGTAGAATTTCTGACAGATATTGAGTGAATCCAGAAAATGATTAGAGTGAAAGGAGAGTAAAGTCAAGATAGAAGAAGAGATTAAAGAAATAATGAAATGTGTTTAAGCTAGTTGGAAAAATAAAGTAGCGTAACAAGAACGGCTGGAAGTCAAGTCACTTGGTGGGTGTCCGTGTGGGGTAGGTGTGTAGGTATGTTGATATGTACAGTATAGGTAGGTATTATATAGAGTAATGTAGGTATGATTTATGTTATGAAAATAAGGTACAGTGGTACCTCGGGTTAAGTACTTAATTCGTTCTGGAGGTCCGTTCTTAACCTGAAACTGTTCTTAACCTGAAGCACCACTTTAGCTAATGGGGCCTCCTGCTGCCGCCGCGCCGCAATTTCTGTTCTCATCCTGAAGCAAAGTTCTTAACCTGAGGCACTATTTCTGGGTTAACGGAGTCTGTAACCTGAAGCGTATGTAACCAGAAGCGTATGTAACTTGAGGTACCACTGTAGTGTGTTGTGTTGTGTATGTGTATTGTGTAAATGTGTATGTATGTGTTTTATATGTTAATAAAATTTAAATTTTAATTTTTTAAAAAAATGAATGTAGCCAATGAGCACGAGTGTTTAGAGAGCCAATCAGGTGTTATGAGCCATCAAACCTCGGAAATACACTTTCCCCAAAAAAGTTTCCACAATTTTGGCCACTTGTGTAGCTAACTGGGCAGACCGGTGAATTCTATTTGCAAGAAAGAGGATACAGATTTCTGTTTCAGCAACTGTGGCAGAACAATGTCATTTCTCCTGCAAACCATTTGAGGCAGTTAACTTAATCACAGGAGGAAGAAAATCTCTCTTTTGTGGTCTATAAATAGTTTGGCATGGGGAAGGCACATTCCAGAATGAGGAGGAAGCCTGGGGTCGGGTGAACCTTTGATGATACGTCCAAAAGCAGGGATGAAATTCAAGCCCTGAGTGGATGTCAAGCACAGTCCCTTGACACAGTTCAGAGAAAAAGAAATCATAGGAATGTTATAGGAAGGTGCTTTCGACTGAGTCAGACTGTTGGCTCATCTAGCTTATATTGCCTGCACTAACTCGCAGTGGCTGCCCCGGATTTCAGGCAGGGAATCTCTGTGGAGATGTTGGGGATTGAACCCAATAACTTCTGCGTGTAAAGCGATTGCTCTAACCACTGTGCTATAGCCTCTCACTATTGTCACCCACATCATGCATTGAAAGAACTCTTATAACACTTGGCTTGTGCCAGAGAAACTACTGTGTTGACAGTGCTGAGAATTGTCAGAATCCCCTTCGCAGAGCTATGGTTCCTTACAACCTCATCAAGGTTCCCTAGGAACTGTAGTTTGTTAAGCGTGCTGGGAATTGGAGCTCTGTACACTACAGTTTCCAGGTATCCAGCGCAGTGCTTTTAAATGTATGGTGTGCATGGAAGCAGAGGGCCTTCTCGGTAGTGGCGCCCACCTTGTGGGACGCTCTCCCATCAGATTTCAAGGAAAGAAACAACTATCTGACTTTTAGAAGACATCTGAAGGCAGCCCTGTTTAGAGATGTTTCTAATGTTTGATTTTTTATCATGTTTTAAATATTCTGTTAAGAGCCGTGGAGAGTGGCTGGGGAGACCCAGCCAGATGGGTGGAGTATAAGTCATAAATTGTTGTTGTTGTTTAGCTGTGTCCGACTCTTCGTGTCTGATGTCTTGTTGTGTTTTAATTTGTTGGGAGCCTCCCAGAGTAGCTGGGGTAGATCAGTCAGATGGGCAGCAAATAAAAATTTTATTATTATTATTTAGCCTCAAAACGGTATGAGTGCTTTAAAGGAATGGTGTTGATGTGACTTAACCTACAAAATCCTGCGCTCTTAAAAATTCCACTGCTGATTCAAATAGCATGGAAATATGCGGGCAAGTAAGGGCAACTCCAAGTAGTCCTCTTTTCTTTCTCGGGACTAGTTGTGACTTTTAATAGAGCACAGAACAAACAAAGCAAACATGTTCGTTAGACACTTGTAGGTCATCAGCAAAGAATGCTGGAACTAAAGATGCGTAAGGAGCCTCAAGGGATCTTTGCCAACGCAAGTGATCAATGGGAACCTGCGCTCATCTCCTGCTCATCTTGGTCTGAAAGGTCAAGCATGACCAAGGCAGAGCTTTGATCTGATTAGGTGCCCTCTAGAACACAGGAACACATTGATGCTTTTGAATTATGGTGCTGGAGGAGACTCTTGAGAATCCCATGGACTGCAAGAAGAACAAACCTCTCCATTTTGAAGGAAATCAGCCCTGAGTGCTCACTGGAGGGACAGATCGTGAAGCTGAGGCTCCAATACTTTGGCCACCTCATGAGAAGAGAAGACTCCCTGGAAAAGACCCTGATGTTGGGAAAGATGGAGGGCACAAGGAGAAGGGGACGACAGAGGACGAGATGGTTGGATAGTGTTCTTGAAGCTACCAGCATGAGTTTGACCAAACTGCGGGAGGCAGTGGAAGACAGGAGTGCCTGGCGTGCTCTGGTCCATGGGGTCACGAAGAGTCGGACACGACTAAACGACTAAACAACAACAACAACAACAGAACACAGGAAAGGGAAAGAAGAGGAAGAAAGCTTTCAGGCAGGATGCTGGAGAAATCATTAAGCTTCCTAGCACTGTTCAAAGTGCTGGTTTTGACCTATAAAGCTCAGTTCCCCAGGACCTCAACGACCATCTCTCCCCATATAAAGCGACCCGGACCCTGAAATCATCATCTGAGGTTCTTCGTTGTTTGGCTCCTCCATGAAAGATCTGGAAGGTGGCAACATAAGAACGGGCCTTTTTGTGGTGGCTCCCTGTCTGTGGAATGCTCTCCCCAGATAAGCTCACCTGGCACCCTCACTACATATCTTGAGGAGCTGGGAGAATATGTTTCTCTGTAACCAGGCCTTTGGCTGATTAACATCCTATGGTCTTTTAAATGCTTTTATCACTTGTTCTTGTTTCATTATGTATTTTGTGTTTTTCCCATTTTGTATTTTTATGCTGTGAACCGCCTTGGAGGCAGGGCGGTATGAAAATGTAATAACTAAATAAATAATACCCTAAAGCCGTAAGCCACAAGCCCGAACCGCTGCGAAGCATTTGCCCATAAATTATGGCGATCACAGCTTTCCCCAGGTGTTAATGTTGTGCAGGTTTCAACACACACAGGTTACAGGCTACTTAGCTGAGCCATAAGAAAGGTTAAGAGGCCAAAGCCACAACAGGGAGAGAACTCCCTCATGATTCATTGACTGCTTTTTAAAACAAACTTTCCTCTGACAGGGGAATCCCAGCTTGCCTTGATTATTTCCTCCTCTGCATATTCTTTCACAGAGAGAGGCAGAGACAGAGAGAAAGAGAGAGAGAGATCGGGATCTCCACGTTTTAGCACTTTTATTTTTGTGAAAAAAGAGCAAGCAACATAAAGATACAATTAAAACCATCAAGTTTCCCTGTAATACTCCGCTAGATAATACTCTATATGTTTACTCAGAAGCAAGTCCCATTGTGTTGGGGGGGGGGGTACTCACTACTAAGTGTGTCATTTTCTGCCAAATTATCAGGGGGTTCAAAAGAACTGACCTGGTTAGATAAGCTACAATACCTTTAAAATAGGCTTGCCGCCAGTTTTTGCAGTTATTTCATTTTTCGTAGCATGCATTGCTTTTAGAAACAGAAAAGCTACACAAGCAAAAGCAGGAAAAGGTCAGTCTTCCTGGTGGGGGTGGGCTGGGGGTGCCCTGTGATAATTAATATACAGACTGAGCACAGAGAACAAACCAAATGAAAACACAGTCCGCATAAAATTCTCACTTAATTCACCTTAAAGTTTCAGAATTTCATGGCTTTTCTGCAGAAACTGAAGAACCAAATCAGTGGACCATACTTTCAACTAGTGCTATTTTTCTAAGAAAAAAGGTGCCGGATGGCTCCAACTGGGGGGAAAAGCCCTTCTATTAATGTATTTTTAAAACATTTGAAATTATGGCAGTGGGTATAATTTCACCACTGATTTAAGGAGTGGAATGTCTTACTGCTGGGTGCTTAAATGAACACCCTAAGATGATTATCTCCCAATACTCCTCTGTCAATTTGGACTTGTTCTGCATTTCAAACATGTATCCGAGGGCATTCTCATCAGTAGACACTTCCTAAAGGAATTGCTTGCTTATGATGGAGCGGGGCTGCTTTCTAGTCCAAATAGTTTGCTCCCTGCCAGTGACATAGCAGGGGTTGCTGGTGCCCAGGGCAGGGGAAGTGCTGTGTCTCCCTGCTGATGGCGGTGGCCACACGGCTTGGCAACTCTCCCAGCTTGACCAGCCCAGGGGTGTCGCCTCGCCGGCCACAAGGAGAAGGAGGCACCACCCCAAAACCAAAAGACCAGTGCAGGTATGGCTTGCCTCCCCACTCCCCTCGGTTCCAGAAGGCGGCAGGAACTCAGTCGCATGAAGGAGACTGTTGTGGGGGTGCCTTTTTGCACCCGGGGCCATTGCCCCTCTGCCCCGACACACTATACCACTGCCCTCCCAAACTTAAAAAAAGCACTGATGTTTGCTACCTCTGTTTTTAACACAGATATAAAACCTTCATGGGCAGCAATGTCATTTTGATTTCTCTTCCATATTCTATCCCATATGAACAAAACTCACACGTGACACAAGTTGCTCAAGAAAGGTATGTTTGAGGGTGAATTCAGGCACTGCATTCTTTAGGTATACAGTGGTACCTCAGGTTACATACGCTTCAGGTTACATACGCTTCAGGTTACAGACTCCGCTAACCCAGAAATAGTGCTTCAGGTTAAGAACTTTGCTTCAGGATGAGAGCAGAAATCGTGCTCCAGCGGCGCGGCAGCAGCAGGAGGCCCCATTAGCTAAAGTGGTACCTCAGGTTAAGAACAGTTTCAGGTTAAGAATGGACCTCCGGAACGAATTAAGTACTTAACCCAAGGTACCACTGTACAATATCTGACTACGTCGTGATGTATTTGCAGGAACTCAGTGCGCTCTGTTTGAGTTTTGGAAAACGTTTCATTTCATTTTTTCATTGGTTTTTTAAAAAATAAGGGGGGGGGGAACCTAGTTATCGTATAAGAAATTAACAACTGTGTGCATCGCCTGATAAATTGCATGTGTGAAGGAGCCGTTACAGATTAATAGCAATGAGATTTCGACATATCGCCAGATGTCATCACCTCGTAATAACTTCCAATGAGAGCAAGTCACACTGAGCAGGAGGGAGTCAACAAGCAGCAAGTCACCCAAAATGAAGGATGAATCATCCCGTCAAGAAGTGACTCCTGTTATCCAACAAGAGCAATCGTAATTGATTCATATTAGTTTTCCGGAAGAAAACCAGCTTGTTCCAAACTTTTAAAACTACCCAGTGAGTTTAGCCCTTTTTCTGTAAATGTGATAACACACAGGGGTCAGCAGACGTTTTCAGCAGCGGTCCACTGTCCCTCAGACTTTGTGGGAGGCCAGACTATATTTTGGGGAGGGGGGAATGAATGAATTCCTATGCCCCACAAATAACCCAGAGATGCATTTTAAATAAAAGCACACATTCTACTCATGCAAAAACACGCTGATTCCTGGACCGTCCACAGGCCAGATTTAGAAGGTGATTGGGCAGGATCAGGCCCCTGGGCTTTAGTTTGCCTAGGTAAAGGTAAAGGGACCCCTGACCATTAGGTCCAGTCGTGGCCGACTCTGGGGTTGTGGCGCTCATCTCGCTTTACTGGCTGAGGGAGCCGGCGTATAGCTTCCAAGTCATGTGGCCAGCATGACTAAGCCACTTCTGGCAAACCAGAGCAGTGCACGGAAACGCCATTTACCTTCCCGCAGGAGCGGTACCTATTTATCTACTTGCACTTTGACGTGCTTTCGAAGTGCTAGGTTGGCAGGAGCAGGGACCAAGCAATGGGAGCTCACCCTGTCGCGGGGATTTGAACCGCCGACCTTGTGATCGGCAAGTCCTAGGCTCTGTGGTTTAACCCACAGCGCCACTCGCGTCCCTTTAGTTTGCCTACCCATGCACAAATCCCACCATCTAGCTGAGCACTGCTTATAAGGACTAGCAGTAGCTCTTTAAGATTTCAGACTCCCCCAACCGTAAAAATGACAGGTACTGAACTTGGCATCTTTGACATGGAGATCTGTAACCGAACTCCAGTCCTTTGTCCATGCTGAATAGCCTTGCAGTGCTGAGGATCAGTCATTTAAAAGGGGTGTGGGTGTGTGTGCATATACAGTGGTACCTCGGGTTACATACGCTTCAAGTTACATACGCTTCAGGTTACAGACACTGCTAACCCAGAAATAGTACCTCGCGTTAAGAACTTTGCTTCAGGATTAGAACAGAAATCGCCTGGCAGCAGCGGGAGGCCCCATTAGCTAAAGTGGTGCTTCAGGTTAAGAACAGCTTCAGGTTAAGAACAGACCTCCGGAACGAATTAGTTCTTAACCCGAGGTACCACTGTAACCCGCTTGGAAGGACTGGTTAGCAGAAACCCTATCCTGTTATGAGAAAGGATGCATGGCAACATTTTGTTGCAGCTACCTGCTGTTAGCAAACTCACTGCACTTCTTAACACCGTGTGGCTCTCAGCTGAAAACTTTGCTTTCATAAACCGCTCAACCTTGTTTCACTACTCGAATTGTATTCCACTTCAGCATATCTGCAGGTCTGCCCCCAAGTGGAGATACCTTGAAAAGTCAGTATTCTTAAAGCAGTCATTCAATCTGAAAATGACATGGTTGTAGTGGTGTTGTTTATTTATCTCATTTATATCCAGTACACAGCCCAAGCCTAAGAAGTGCGCAAGCCCACAGGAATGACTGAGTTTAAAGTTTTGACCTAAATTAGTTTATTTTCCAGCTCCTGGTGATCATATAAATCAATGAGCGCTTTATATGAAAGCAGATAGTCAGTGAGGATATAAAACAATTCTGTGCTCAGTTTAGGCACGACTGTTTTGTTAATTTCATCAGTGTTCATAGTTTATAAGCAAATATGACCAGCATCAAAGTGATCTGCACACTATCCTAATATGGACTGAATTATATCTGTCTGATTTTTCTCTCTCATTTCCTCTTTTATATTTTTAATATTTGGAAGTAACAGTTCCTGAAAGCTTGTGTTACTAAGCATTTAGTATCAAACATAACCAGAAAGAGTTCAGCATTGCTAACTTCAAAATGCAGATAATTTTCTTTCGCAGCCACAAAAAATGTTTCTATGAATTTTTGCAACACTGTATGGGTGCTCTCTGAATGCTGCTCATATCCAGAACATGCCGTTAATTTAAATGAGTCTACTCAGAGTATAATTAACATTGGCTATTGCCCTATGCTTTTATTTTACATTTTTAGGGAAAGCTCAACGAAATATATATTTCTTTTTGTTGAAATGCACAGCCCCCACCTGAAAACTGGCACATGTAAGAAGTTTTTCATGAGTATATCAGGTGCTTCCAGTTATCAGCATTTAATTTACTTATTCAGAGACAACAGATATAGAGGAAACTGTAACATACCTGAGAACATGTCAGTCCACACTCTTCAATCCTGGGAATGAGCTGATAGCCATAAGCTCCCCAAAACATTGCAAAAATCTGCAACTTAAATAGCATCTTTACTTTTATAAAAAGCTTTTTTCTTTTCTGGTTTTTAAAATTATGACTACAGTATTTTAAAATAAACTACCCTTTGAAACAGCTGTTCCACTCTGAGAAACTAAGTTTAAATACTGTGATATGATGAGTTCAAGCACATCCTTCTTTCTTTCAGCTTGACTCCTCCTCTTTTAAAAAAACAACAACGTGCAAGGCCGATTTTTTTAAAAAAAACCAACACCCCCCCCCCCCCCTTGTATTTTAAAACAACTCTTGCTCCAGCCAGATGACTCACAAGATTCTGGAAGTGAAATCCCAGACAGTCATCTTCCTTTTTAAATTCAAATAGCTAAAAATTTGAATCAAACTTGCTTAGTCAGAGAAACTTTTACTACTGTTTTGAGTCACAGTGTAAATATTTTGCCTTAATCATAATTTTGGTTGTAAAGTTTAAAGTTATTACCATGAGTTGAAAAAAAGTGTGAGCACAGAGATAGGTGGTTATGCAAGAATTTGTGTTCACTTTCAGTGCTATAAACAGTTCTTTTCTCCGGCTTCTAATGCTTTAGAGCACAAAAGTCCCTCGGCAATGTGCCAAAATATATCAGTTTCTCGGTGATGTAGCCACTCCCATATCTTTCCTATGGAGGCCAGACACCAGCATTCTGCTTTTGGGAGAAACAAGCAATGGTTTAGCACAGCAAGCACAGCTGGAAGATAAAAAGGTAGAAAGTTTTAAAATGAAAGTACAGTGGTACCTCGGGTTAAAAACTTAATTCGTTCTGGAGGTCTGTTCTTAACCTGAAACTGTTATTAACCTGAAGCACCACTTAGCTAACGGGGCCTCCTGCTGCCACCGTGCCTCCAGAGCCCGATTTCTGTTCTCATCCTGAAGCAAAGTTCTTAACCTGAAGCACTATTTCTAGGTTAGCGGAGTGTGTATCCTGAAGCGTCTGTAACCTGAAGCGTATGTAACCCGAGGTACCACTGTATAGTGGTACCTCAGATTAAAAACTTAATTCGTTCTGGAGGTCCGTTCTTAACCTGAAACTGTTCTTAACCTGAAGCACCACTTTAGCTAAGGGGCCTCCCGCTGCCACCGCTCTGCTGCCGTGCGATTTCTGTTTTTATCCTGAAGCAAAGTTCTTAACTTAACCTGAAGCGTATATAACCTGAAGTATATGTAACCCGAGGTACCACTGTACCCCAAAACATTTTTTTTAGAAAAAAGGGCACTGGATGTATCACAGAATAACTGACAAAGCAGGATAATGTCTAAACCCACTTCAAATGCAGTACAGTGGTACCTCGGGTTACATACGCTTCAGGTTACATATGCTTCAAGTTACACACTCCACTAAGCCAGAAATAGTGCTTCAGGTTAAGAACTTTGCTTCAGGATAAGAACAGAAATCGGGTTCTGGCAGCAGGAGGCCCCATTAGCTAAAGTGGTGCTTCAGGTTAAGAACAGTTTCAGGTTAAGAACGAACCTCCGGAACGAATTAAGTACTTAACCTGAGGTACCACTTTATTAATGAATCAGTGGAACGTTGCTGCAGACACCTTCAATAAAACAGCACTAACACAGGGACAAATAAAAAAGGATGCCTTCACCCCATTGTGGCTCTCCCTTATTAAACTCACAACCCGACAAGTCAAGAAGAAGAATCCACCTACAGCATATGAATCTATATGCCTAACTGGACCCAACAACCCCTTCTCCCCTCACACACACAAACAAAGCTCATGACAGAAAAATCCATGACATGGGCTCCCCACCCCTCAACCTCTCCCAATGCCAATGAAAACTAATAAACGAATAAAAAGAGAAACCACCCGTGTGACGCTGACACAAAAACCTCACACATACACTGTGTAAAAGAATGAACGTTTGCTACTCCACCTCTCTTCTCTCCCCCCCCCCAACCTTATACAGTCGTACCTCGGAAGTCGAACGGAATCCATTCCAGACGTCCAGACGTCTTCCAAAATGTTCAACAACCAAGCCACAGCTTCTGATTGGCTGCAGAATGCTCCTGCAGCCAATCGGAAGCCCCATCAGACGTTTGGGTTCCAAAGAATATTCGCAAACCAGAACACTTGCTTCCGGGTTTGCGGCATTCGGGAGCCAAAACATCCAAGTACCAAGGCGTTTGGGATCCAAGGTACAGCTGTATTGTCTACAACATTAATGTTTCACATCAAATATAACTGACCTGTAGACAGGACTTTGTGATCTGAAAACAGAGATGATATACTGTATATACTTTTGCAGCTCAAGAAAATCTTTAATAAAAACATACAGTGGTTCCTCGGGTTAAGTACTTAATTCGTTCCGGAGGTCCGTTCTTAACCTGAAACTGTTCTTAACCTGAAGCACCACTTTAGCTAATGGGGCTTTCTGCTGCCGCCGTGCCACTGCAGCACAATTTCTCTTCTCATCCTGAAGCAAAGTTCTTAACCGGAGGTACTGTTTCTGGGTTAGTGGAGTCTGTAACCTGAAGCGTATGTAACCTGAAGCATATGTAACCTGAGGTACCACTGTATTTAAAAAAAAGAAACACCGAACAGTGCTTCATGCACCTTCAACGACACAGCAGTCCTTTCTCAGCTCTCAACTCTAATCTCACTGTCTGCTCAAAAACACACACACACACCAGTTTCTTCTTTCCATCAGCTGGAGTTTGATGTGTCACATCTGCTGCACTTTAATGGCTTTTCCATTCCAAAAATATCCAGAGACCATCTAACCATTACCTCTTCCAGAGCCACCTAAACCTACTTACTCAGTTGCACACCCTGTTGAACTCAGTGGGACTGACGTCTGGCATTTAGCACAGCACCGGTAACAAACATTAACTTTCTTGTGCCATTTCCCAGGTAATGATCAACCACGACTTCTAGGTAAATCCCTAAGCAAGCAAAGACCTGTTCCCACTAACCACACAGTAAACCCCCTGCAATACATTTGTTTTTGCTTTTGCTTTTCTGTTGAATCATGTTTTGTTGTTGTTTAGTCATTTAGTCGTGTCCGACTCTTTGTGACCCCATGGACCACAGCACGCCAGGCACTCCAATCTTCCACTGCCTCCCGCAGTTTGGTCAAACTCATGCTGTTAGCTTCGAGATCACTGTCCAACCATCTCGTCCTCTGTCATCCCCTTTTCCTTGTGCCCTCAATCTTTCCCAACATCAGGGTCTTTTCCAGGGAGTCTTCTCTTCTCATGAGGTGGCCAAAGTATTGGATCCTCAGCTTCAGGATCTGTCCTTCCAGTGAGCACTCAGGGCTGATTTCCTTCAGAATGGATAGGTTTGATCTTCTTGCAGTCCATGGGACTCTCAAGAGTCTCCTCCAACACCATAATTCAAAAGCATCAATTCGTTGGCAATCAGCCTTCTTTATGGTCCAGCTCTCACTTCCATACATCACTATTGGGAAAACCATAGCTTTAACTATACGGACCTTTGTTGGCAAGGTGATGTCTCTGTTGAATCATATCATTGTTGTAAATAAAATCTGCCCTTTTTCCCTTGTGGGGTATCCAAGAGCCCATATAGAGTCCTTACGTGGGTTCCCTATTGGCAGGAGAAAATAACAGAGGCCAACCAGAGAATATTGAGAAGCAAAGCAGCTAGTAAGCCTGATCTTTATTAAAGCTGTTGCAACAGGGTGCTCCCCTCACATGCAGAAAAGGAGGAGGACCCAGAAACAAGGTGTGCCTGCCCTTATATAGACATTTTAAATTCCCTACCCTGGAGCTCAAGACCACCCCTCCATACATCATACATACATCACAGAAGAGGTGTAACCCAAGACCACCCCCGCAAACATCATACCTACATCACAGAAAAGGTGGTCTACAACAGAAATTTGAATATTGTTGTTTTTCCTGTCTGCCGGGTTATCTGATAATGCCTTATCTGATTGCATTTCCTGGTAGTCTGCCCATTCCTTTAAGATGGTGATTTCCCAATTCCTGAGACAATGGGAAGGTTCCCTCACCCCCTCCCTCCTTGCAGAGAAAACATTTGGTCAGTTTGGGAGTCAAAATGGTTTCAGGGCGGTCTTCCTGTGCTGCTCCAGACATGTGGGCCACATATCTATGTTTGTGCTTGGTTGGTACATTTATGAACTTTTATTATATATGTAAGACCTTAAATTGTTTATTACATCATCAATGCATAGTGTGGTACAGTTGAGCACAAGGTAATAAGAGGGAAAAAATAACTTAAATACAACACATATGTATATGAGTAATAATCATAACGTAACTTATTCCTCCACTCTCATATACCTTGACTTTAACTCCCCTTCCACTCTTTCCCTGGTTTCCTATCTGATATCTTTTCAAATTGCCTTTACTTACTCTACTAAATTGTTTTTATTACTTTGTCATGTCTATGCTGAATATTTTTTCTTTTCTTTTTTATAATATTTTATTGATTCTCCAAAAAAACCCCAATAACAATAAAAATTCATAACCAAACGTAGAAAAAAATGACTTCTCCCTAGTCTCTTACTTGGTTCCATTATTTGTCAACATACTGCATGTCCACTGTAAATTAAAGAACCATTAGAATTACTTATTATCCATTCATAATGTAATTACAAGTAGTTCTAGAATCTTGCTAATGTATTAACCTGTGTCCATTGCTTCTGTATATATGCAATAAAGTCCTTCCAATCTTCCTTAAATTCATTGTCATTTCTTCCTCTTAGTTTCATTGTCAATTTTGCAATTTCAGCATATTCCAATAATTTAACTTGCCAATCTTTTTTAGTACTGCTGAGTATTTTTTCAGTCTGTTACACTTATTTTCTTGTTACAGTATTTTCCCATGTAATCTATATATCATGTCCAGTCCTCTTTTAGTTTATCGTCTTTATTTCTTAATCTGTTTGTCATGCTGGCGAGTTCTGTATAATCTAGCATTTTAAGGTGCCATTCTTCTCTTGAATGTGCTGCATCTGTTCTCCAGTTTTGTGCTACCAGATTTTGGGCTGCTGTAGTCACATCCATCCATAATGTAGTGTGATTTTTTTGGGATTTCTGTTATTATTATTCACAGAAGAAAAGCTTCTGGGTTTTTAGGAAACATTTAAACATTTTCTTAAGTTTGTTATAAGCCATCTCCAAGAATTATTTTATTATTTTGCAAGACCACCATGAATGATAAAATGTGCCAAACACAATGATACATTTGTATGCAACCTTCATTTGGCCAGCGACAAAACAAACAGTGTTGTTGTGCATAAATACCAGCCAGAAGACAAATATCACAACGGGAGTTGGAATGTCATGTAAAAGTGCTGTCTAAAGTAATAAAATATTATTGGTATGGAGAAAAAGGATGAGCAAGTAAAATCCTCAATGATACACTGGGCAATAGATATCGGTCATAATATAGACATGGAAGCATGGGAACGATTGCAGAATATGGATATAAAATTAACAACATGTTATGTTTTAAGAGAAAATTATTTGAAAATTATATATTGTTGGTATCTGGCACCAAGTCAACTGACAAAAATGTATACATCTAAATCAAACAAGTGTTGGAAATGTAAAGAGGTTCTTTTTATCATATGTGGTGGTCTTGTAGTAAGGCTAAAGCTTACTGGGAAATGATATATAATGAATTGAAAAGGATGTTCAAAATAACCTTTGTAAAAAAAAAACCAGACGCTTTTCTTTTGGGAATTATAGGGAAAGAGCTACCTAAATTGTATAGAAATTTATTTATGCATGCT